ATTATAGATCCAATAAAAATTAAATCCTAAAAAAAATTAAATCCTTTAAAAAAAAAAAAAAAGAAAAACACTTAAAAAACCTTAAAGTTACTCATGTTGCTGTTTAAGTCAATGATTATCAATGTTTAAGTTGTTGCCATTAAGTCCATGATGACTCATAGCCATCAGTAGATCTGCACCTTGCCCTTCCTGCAAACCCATCCAATGACAATAATCAATGTTTAAGTTGTTGTCATTAAGTCAATGGCAATTAACAGCAATCAGTAGATCTGTACCTTGCCTTATCTTGCACCACACAAACAATCCCTGTCATGATCATGCTCATCTCATGTGGTAGTCCAGGCCTTAATCTATCTCCTTGAAATTCTTCCTCTTTTGCTGGCCCTCTATCTGATCTTTCAAGAGAGATTTGTTTGTTCTTTTGGCATTTCATGGTATAGTCTATATTTTTCACCAATATCAGCATAAATTCTTCTGTCATTCTTAGTCACTATAACTTCCAGATGCACAGGAAGTAACTGAAAATACCAACTCTTGGATCAGGCGCAACTTAGTCTGACATCTTTGCTCTCAACTGTTAGGTTTTTGCCAGTAGATTTTCTCAATAACACATATCTTCTGATTTTTTTAAACCTAGGTATTATCTATCTCTTGTCGGCTATTCTATTCTTAGTATTTCTTCATCTTTTCAGTATTTTCCTTACTTATGGAACAGATTATTGTATAAACAAGACACAGATATCTGTGTACATACCTTTACGACCAATAGTGAAGTCAGATACAATACACTCCCCTTTCTCATTGGTAATTTTTGCAAGATCATCCATAGATGGAATAGTATAGTAACCAACCTTAGTAAGAATAATACCTGTGAGAAAACAGAATCTTAGTAGTAATTATCCTTAAATAAGGAAAGTTAGAGCAATATTTACTTCATTCTTTTCCCGAACTAGATTTTTGACTAAACAATTTCTAGGAGATTCTATTTCTTCCCCCTTCCCTTAAAGTTCATGGTCAAGTAAATTTGAAAACCATTCAATTACAGTATATGATAACCTCTGAAAACTCTCACAGTAATAAAGCCTTGTTTTAATCAGGGTTTTGAACTGGTGTGCTGACAGGTGATATATAGAGGTTGAAACAGAATCATATTTTAAAGTTTGAGTGGACCACTAAAACAAGATAAAGGAGGTTGAGTTAGAGGCACTAAGACTCTGTTAGGGAGCTCTGGTCATTGAGTCTGTAGGGAGTTCTCCTGTTAATTCAAAGGTGGCATTTTCTGGTGGTTCAAATCTACCAGTGGCTCTGAGGGAAGAAACTCATGGAAAGTAAGTGATGAGCTGGTTCCAAACCAAAAGCAATGAGGTGAAGTGAATTTCTGTAAGAAAGCTCCAGTGGATTAACACATTACAAGTGTGCTAGTAACCAACAGAGAGAGAGACACACACACACACACACACACACACACGACAGAACTCACCAAAATAAACACTGAGAATAAGGGCAATGCATCTCATGTATATTTAACAACAACAACAAAATACCTGATGAAATTCATGAAAACAGTTGCACTCTTACTTCATCACACAAAACAAGATAAACTTTAAGTATCTGCTCAAGATACCCAGATCTTGTAATTTACACAACTAGGCGGCTTAGCTTTTGTTGTGGTTTTTTTTTTTTAAAAAAAAGGTAGGAAGGAAACCGATGATAATAGCACAGCAGTAGCTACTATTTGAGAATCTACTTAAGTCAGGCATTATGGTAGAAAAAAACATATACCCCACTTCATGGCTGTCAAGTCAGAACCAATTTGTAGCTGATCCTACAGCTTGTTTCAGCTGTAAATCACATGAGAGGAGCTTGTCCATCTTTTTCCCTTAGAGCTGCTGCAAACCACCACAAGGGTGGCCTTTTGGTGGGCAGGGCAATTCCACATGGATTAGGCACCAGAGTTCCCTAATTTAACTCAAAATGAAATAACCTATATGATGGGAAATAAATACCAACTTTCTTTCAATTTTTAAGATCTAAAAGCAATCAAGTGAATTTGTAAAGCAGTCAGATTTTGAATTCTGGCTACAAAATTTGAGCTCTTTACAAAGAATTAATGGTTTTTTGTGGTTTTGTTTCGACAAAGGCATGGCTTATGTGCTCAACTTTATTGAAAATATTACAGCACAGCAGACAAGACTCAAATGGTTCCACATGATGTTTTGAAATTCATCCCAACTGTGGGATGAGTGACATGCAGGTTGGACAGACTGCCAAAGTCCAAGAGTTTCAGCATTTCCTTAGTATCAGGATCTACTTCAATGATCTCCTGATCCAGGGCTGAAACCTCTAGTACATAATTATCTCTCCTTTCTCTCTCCTCCTCCTGCAGCTTAATGGAGATGCCTCTCACAGGCCCTCTCTGAATACGCTTTATCAGATGTGTGACACAGTCTGCTATCTTATTCCGGAGTTTCTTGCTGGGAATAATGGCGATCTCCTCGCACACACGCTTGTTCGTGTCAAGTCATCACCCAGGCACGTGTCAATGATGACCCGGGCCACTTTCTTCACGATTTTGATGCAAACGTGGCCCATGTTGAAGGGTCCTTGGTGAAAGCCAATTTTAACTACTTTTAAAAGTATGTGGATTAGCAATCAACTACGGCTAAGTGAAAAATATTTCAAAGTTAACCGACATAAAACATAAAATACTACAAATGAAATCTCAAATGATGCTAAGAGATTAATCATGTATAGTGACTCTAACCTGCTGGATGCATGTGGTAAGAATTATTTTCTCCATCTTCTCGATCATCTTGCAGTGATTCTTCATGGAAAGATGTCTCTTCACTGCTTCCTTCTAGCCCATTTCGCAAGGCAACACGCATATTTAATGCAACAATGGTGTCATCCACACTGTTACTGCTATTGTGCTTATTTCCAGCACTCTCTGGAGTTTGAGGGATGGGTCTGGCAATAGGGTTAGTATAAAAACGAGACACAAGAGAATCTTCATCTCCATCCTGCTGGTGGTTCTCTTCAACAGGTTTGCTGAGGAAACTGAATCTGTAAAAGGAGAAAATATAAACAATTTTTTAGCCCTTATAACAGTAGTACCAGCGACAATGTTAACAGTAAAGCCTTGTAACAGTAGTACCACTGACAATGTTAACAGTCAAGTCTCAGTATTTATGCAATCTTATATGTTAAAAATTCATTTACTATTATAGCAAAGTAGTCTCTTTTATAGATTAAAAAAATCTAATCCTGATGTCCATGCCTTAATATGCCCAATTTCATGAATCAATGAATCCGGGTACATTGAAAAGTGTTTTTTTTTTGGTTGTAAAACTCTATATAAAAAATGAAAATATGTTCTAGACTTTTAATACTGAAATGGATATATTAAAAAAAATTAATATAGTACATGTATTAATTTTATTAATAAAAAAATCAAACAGCATTTTAACACAAAACCAAAAATACAAAAAGATGTTTACTGAAACATTACTGTGAATCAAGAAATCTATGTCTACCAAAACAAAATTGGTTTAATCATCTTATGTTCATGAGGTGGAATATATATAATAAAAATGAGATCAAAAGTACATACTTAATGAAAAGGCATTCATAATGAAAAGAAAAAAGGTTATAAAACATACGTAACCAACACCTATATGTAAAAAATAATTATACAAATATAGAGGACTATAAAACTACTATGAATTAATTTTTACTTCTTCCTTTAAAAACGTCTACATTTTTGTTCTTAGGATAGTCAGCAGGTGGTGGATTCACCACAGTGATCATGTATTTTACTTAGTCTTAATCAACAAAATATTCTTTATTTTAAATGACTTTCTGGTGGCCTACTGGTAAAAAACTGTGCTGCAATCCCAAAGGCACATAGTTCAAATCCACCAGCTGCTCTGCAGAAGGATTAACAATCTCCTATGTGATTAACTGCCTCTTAAAACCTGCTAGAGAGTCAGCTATGGGTCAGTTCCGATGCCATGGTACACAACAACAACAAACAACTCAAAGGAGCATTGGTTGTGCTGCTAACAGAAAAGATGGCACTTCTAACACCAGTCTATTTGGGGGAGAAAGATGAGGTAATCCTCTCCCTAGTTCTGGAACGTCCTCATGAGTCAATCAAACTGATGGCAATGGGTTTGATTTTTAATCTAAACAAGAACAAAAACCTGACTGAATTTTTAGGTATATAATATTCACCAAACTTTCTAATTCAAATGTTCATAATATTAATAAATTCTAAAAGCTCAGAATCTCTTTAAAATGAAAACAGGACTCCTCATGAGGGGAGAGAGAAAAACAAACAAAAAACCCAAAAAAAATTCACTTACCTCTCTCCATTTTCTGGATAATCAGAGGGTGAAGCCAAATCTTCAGCATCACGATTAACAGGAGAAAAGAGATTGCTATTGTTAAGATTCTTCAAAACCAACTTTTTAATGCTCTTCCTAAAAATAGAAGAGGGAGAAAGGTCAGGTAAACATAGTTATGTCTCAGACATAAAACTGAAGCCGAAAATGGCAGTCATGTTCAACAAATGCTACAGTTTAAAACAAAGTGGGAAAGATCTTTGAAAATACTTAACTTCATCTGAATTCAATAACTTTATTCATGTATATATATTTCATTCATTATACTCTAACATTTGAATTATATCTGTACCTATGCTCTTTCTAATGATCTTTATTTTGGAGCGCAGTGTGAGCTTTTAGGATCTATATAGCTCTCTGTTCTGTAAAATTGAGTATGCGAGCTTGAAAAAACAAAAGGATTTGTTAATTTAGAAAGATTTTGTTTTTACTAAAACAATGAAGTGACTTAAAGAACTAAACCAACTCCCACTCAAAAAATACCCCTTCATGCTGAATGATATGAATGATCATAAATACCTACAAAGCTCAGGTCTATATATACAGGTTTACTTTCATTAAGCACCCCTGTATGAGCTCCAAGGAGAATCGCCATGTGCTTCCTACTGTTCAAGTTATTAGAGAAAAAAAATAAGTTAATGTCCTTGTATGCTAAAGTCTACAATTAGTAGGCCACTTTTATGCTTTATACATTTCTAGCCTCAATAATTCAGTAATAATCTCACAAAAAACCAATACTGTTTATTTGAAAATACATAAATGGGAACTCTGGTGGGACATTTTGTAGGTAGTTGTGTTGCTATCCCAAACAGTGCCTCTCTGCCAGAGGTTGAATTAACTGGCAGCTCCTTCTTGTCGTTGTTATGTGCAGTTGAAGTCGCTTGCAACTCATAGTGACCCTATGTACAACAGCCCTAAACTCTGCTCTGTCCTGTGCCAATCGCACTGTCTCCGATACACCTATCCTGATTATCCCAGTCACTGAATCAATCCACCTCACAGGGGGCCTTCCCCTTCTGTGCTGTCCCTCCACCCTACCAAGCATGATGTCTCTCTCCAAGGACCTGTCCCTCCTTGCAACACGTCCAAAGTATGTTAGACGGAGTTTCAGAATCCTTGCCTCCAAGGAGCAGCCTGGTTTGACCCTTTCCAGGATGATTCTGTTTGTTTTCCTAGCAGTCCATGGTACCCTCAATACTCTTCTCCAGCACCACAGCTCAAAGGCATCAATTCTCCTTCTATCCTCCTTAGTCATTGTCCAACTCTCTGATGCATAACAAATGACTGTAAAGACCATGGCCTGTATCAGATGCACCTTAGTCTCCAAAGAGACACCAGTGCTCTTCAGTACTTTGGAGAGGTCCCTAACAAGCAGACTTTACCATGGCAATACGTCTTCTAATTTCCTGGCTACTGGTGCCGAGAGTGTTGACTGTGGAGCCAAGCAAACTGAAGCTGTGAACAATCTCAGTCTCTTCACCATTCATCCTTATGCTGCCAATTGGCCCAGTGGTGAGAATCTTTGTCTTTGTGACACTGAGCCTCAATCCATATTGGAGGCTGCAGTCCTTGACCCTCTGCAGCAAGAGCTTCAGGTCCTTTTCAGTTTCAGCAAGCAGGGTTATATCATCTGAATATTGCAGACTGTTGATAGATCTTCCACCAATCTTGACCACACATTTCTCCTAATAGAGCCCAGCCTCCCGGATAATCTGTTCTGCATATAGGTTGAAAAGGTATAGAGACAGGACGCATCCCTGGCGTACGCCCTTCCCAACTTTGAACCACGCAGTGTTCCCTTGCTCTGTTCTGACGACTGCCTCCTGGTCCAAGCACAGGTTTCGCATTAGCACGATCAAGTGTTCTGGGATTCCCATTTTTCTCAGAGTCAGCCAGTTTGTTATGATCCACACAGTCAAATGCCTTTGCACAGTCAATGAAACACAGATAGACATTCATCTGGTATTCCCTGCTTTCAGCTAAGATCCATCTAACATCAGCTACAATCTCCCTAGTACCACGACCCCTTCTAAACCCAGCCTGGACTTCTGGTAGTTCTCTGCTGATGTGCTGTTCCATTCTTCTCAGAGCCAGCCACAGATTGTTATGATCTACACAGTCAAACGCCTTTGCATAGTCAATGAAACACAGACATTACTCTGGTACTCCCTGGCAGCTCCTTAGGAAAAAAAAATCTCCTTCCACGTGACTGACATGGTAAAAAACTCAAAGTCATTGCTGTCAAGTCGGAATCAATTCATAGCCAATTTACCAGTGGATTTTCAGAGGTTGTAAGACTGCTCCTATTTTCCCCAAGAAGCAGTGGTATAATTAAACCCTAAGAGAGGCGAGACCATATAGTTAGCAGTGCAGCTTTCTACAGATCATGCCACCAAAGTGAAGCAATTTTTAGCCTCCAAAAACTTGCTGGATGGTCTGCTATGAGTTGGTTTCTACTTGACAGCAATGAATTTTTATTTTAATGTGCTTATTCTTTATTATGACAATCAAATATCCAATAAATCAGTGAAAAAGACATTAAAAACAAATGTTTACATGAAAAGTTCACTGATATTGCTCCTTCTATTAATGGAAATTGAAGAACAGAGATCAATCCCCCTGGGAAGGTCAATAAAAAAGGCAGAGTTGCTTCTAAGTACTGAAAGCCAACAAGGCAGTAAAAAAATGACAAACAATTGTTCAATTTAGGGTTACTTTATCCCGCATAATTTTCTATTTCAAGGTGGAAAAAAAGAAGCTCTGGTGGCCTAAGGGATAAAGAGCTGCACTGCCAACCCAAAGGCCCACAGTTCGAACCTACGAACTCCAAAGGATAAAGATGGGAAATCTCCTCCCATGTGATTTATGGCCTCTGAAAACCCACTGTGGGTCAGTTCCAACTCCACAACACACAACAAGATGGAAAGTTAAGAGACTAGCAGCACTCTGGACAGTCGTGTGTCAGGCAAAGGTAAAGAGGAAAGGGATCAGAATGTCAAGGGGAAAAGGTACAAACACCAGACATGAGAAGAGAAATAGTAAACGTAAATGAGATGGATTGACACCGTGACAACAGCAGGAGGCTTAAGGGTGTCAGAGATGATGAGGATGGCACAGGATAGGGTTCAGATCTATTTTCCATAGGGTGGTTCTGAACTGTACATGAGTCAAATGGACCTAATAAAAAACATAGTTGCACTGCAATCCCAGAGGTGAGCGGTTCGAATCCATCAGATGCTTTGCCAAAGAAAGAGGGACAATTTCCTCCTATACCAGTCAGATCTGATTTGATGGTACATGCACACACTCAAATAATAAAATTAAAAAAAGAAAAAAACAACTTAAAATATATGATGTCATGGACTGACTTGTGTGTTCCCCCAAAATATAAGTATACAATGATAAATGTGGAAGCTATATAATGAACTCTCATAATCTGATGAAACAGTTGTAAAAGGATTAAGCGTGCAATGTAACACACCTTAATTCCATCACCATAAAGACAGTTTCTGTAGAGTGTGGTCTATAAGATTAAAGAAGAGGCAGATTAAACTGAGATAGGTGAATATCCCAAGAAGTATTTTATTAGGAATAAAAAAGTTCTCTTTTGACCTAGGCTCCTGCAACTAGCAAGCTCTTCAAAATCACAAAGGTAGAAATGCCAGATAGAGAAGGCATTATCCTAAAGCTGGCACTCTGAATTTGGACCTCCAGCCTCCTATATTCCAACAGAATAAATTTCCATTTATTAAAGCCATCCACATGTGCTATCTCTGTAATAGGAGCACTGGATAACTATGATACATCATGATTTTATATTTAGGTTATATTAGTATTTTAAATTTATGTTAACAAAACTAAACTCACTTGGGCATGAATGCTCCGTTGGCAAGGGATGGTTCATCATCATCCAGCCCATCAAACAGATGTGACTTGGCTGTTCCTGTTGTCTGTAAAGCCTTTGGCCGGACTCGGGTGGCAGGACGGGGTGTAAGTTTATAATGAGTTGGTGTAGTGAGAGCTTTCTGGGCTGCTGGATTGGTTGGCTTCAATCTCTGGGAAAAAAAAATTATCAAGCAAAGTGCTAGTTTAATTAAAATGTACAGTTATCAGCATTAAAAGACTAGAGTTCAAATTTTAGGTCTACAATACATGTCATGCTAGACATGAAGCCTCATGAAACAAATTAATTAACATCTATTTTTGTATGTATATATAATCATTAATTGTAAGCACTACTGAATCTGTATTTCTCTAGAATTGATTTTTACTTATTTCTCTATCTTTCATTTCAGTGGATTTGTCATTTGTTGTTTTTTCCCCCCACCGCTTAACCATGTCATTTGTTTTAAGATACAATTGATACTTCATTTGAAAAGTGTATTATGTATTAAATTGTAACAACATAACATATGAGTGATACACCATGTCCATTTCTTTATCCTGCAACAGACTAAATCTGCAGTAGCTTTTGCTTTGTAAGAGAGTTAATGTTTATATTCATTTTAAATAAAAAAACATGGTTTCAAGAGTTTTAGGTTACATAAAAATATCTGTACTTCCATCAACAAATGAATGGACAGAAAAATGATGGTATATTCACACAATGGAATACTATGCAGCACTGAAAAACAAGTAATTAATAAAATACCACACATAATGGGTGACTTTGGAGGACATTATTCTGCGTGAACTATGTGGGTCACAAAAGGATAAATACTACATAATATTATTATTATAAAACAGGCTTGACATGGGAGTTCAGCGAAACTGAGTAAAGGGGATAAATAATGAACACTGCATTGGAACAGATAAAGGAAAGAATTGTTTAAAAGGCATGCATGATTAAGAATTATACGGATGACAACAGTCCAGAATAAGAGGTAGCTAGCAAAGTGGACTCGTAGTAGGAGGAGGGAGAAAATTATACAATAATGAATAATTTTCTTTTTTTTTTTAAGTGAACTGAGGGGTAGGGAGGAAAATATCCAATAATAAATGAATGACAATCCAACTTTTCTGTAACCTTCCATTAAAATCACAATAAAAAAAGGAAAAATACACCCAGCAACAAAAAAAAGTATTTGTTTAAAAAAACACAACCCTAAAAAAACAAACAAACAAACAAAAAACACAACCCTTACACTTAAAAACCTTAAAGATAGTATCATGCCTTTGCCCAAAAAGTTTCAAGAAACACTTAACAATTTTTACATGCTCATAAAAAAAGCCTAAATAGTACCTCTTCTGAAAAGTTGTATGAAAGTATAATTAACAATGTCTTCCTTCCATTTTTTTATTAGTTTGTCCTATTAAGATAAAATTCAACATCTTAAAGTATACAGTTCTGTGATTTGTGCAAATCATCACCACTACTATTTCCATCACCCTGAAAAGAAACTTTTTATTTCTTGGTAATTACCAATCTACTGACCCTAGACTTGTCTATTCAGACATTCCATGTAAACTGAATCATACACTATGTTGTGTTTCATGCCTGGTTTCTTTCGCTTAACATGATTTCAAGATTCATCCATGTGTACCATATATCATTACTTCATTCCTTTTCATAGCTACACAATATTCCATTTTATGGCTAGCCATTTAACAGCTGATGCTTCTTCCTTCTATAATTTGTATGTACTGTACTGAACTAAACAATTACAGATCCCACTTTCCTTATGAAGATTCCAGGATATAGTTTATTCTAGTGTATGTTTATTTTCAGTTTCAGCCTAGACAATGAATAAATGTCTTCAAGTAAACTGTTCATCTATGTAGCCTCAGAACTAACAAGATACTGCATGGCCTTCAGGATGTGAAAGCTGAGGCTGTTCTTGTCTGCCCAACATGAAAGCTGGAATGCTCTGGCATGTAGCTATCTTTCCTGACAATCATCACCTCTCCAAGTTCGTTTATGACAAGCTAGTTCTTTGTGGACATCAACATCACTATGGTTGCTGCTTCCTACGCCTCACGGGAAAGAGCAAGCCTAGTGATCAGTTACTCACCAAGCTTTCGCTTGTATAGTTTCCATTTCAAATCCTAATTTCCCAGTTGTGCCAGTCAGACTAACACTTAATGCTAACCAGTACATATCACATTCATATTTTGCTTTTCAAAATATCTAAGTTACAACTACAGAGATAAATGCAACCTAACTTCTTATATAATAAGATTAATTTCTGTATAATGAGCAACTTACTGCCAAATATGTAATATCTCATTTATTCCTCAACAATGAAATAGATTATTAACCCATATTTAAAGATGAGGAAATTGAGATTAAGTAACTTTCCTACCATCCCATAAATAATAAGTGGTAAAGAAGCAGAAGCAGATAAAAGACACAATAATAATTTCTCTGACTCTAGAGCATAAGAGGTTAAACCATAGCTATGCAAAAAATAAGGGGTAAGATACTGATTCTGCAACCTGCAGCATTTGTATGTTAAAAAAAGTCAGTCAACCTCCAGGCTTAGTTAGTTCCTCAACTATAAAACGAAAACAATAATTGTTTTACTTTAGGGCGATGACAAAGTCTCTCAGCCCTCAGCTTTGGGAAAGTGCTCATTTCATTGTCTGTCATGCTGTCTCTGAGATATGGAAAGATGACTTATCCCCCCCCAAGCCACAGAAGGGCATAAATAATACAGCTTTTAAATACATTTATATTTAGTTTTGCTTACTCTATTAGACTATAAAGTCAGGAAATTATATCTGCATATTTAGTTTGTCCTATTATTAGAAGAAGTTTTTAAAAAAGGATCATAGTTACCTCTTCTTTCTTCTTAGGATCAGACATGGGATTCCGGAATAGAGGTGAGTCTCCAAAAGGTGAGTAAGTTAGACTATTGATATGCTGTTGGAGGACAGCCTGCTGGGCAGCAGAAGCATTTGGATCTGTCAAAGCTTAACACAAGATATTTAAAAAAAAAAAATTAATTTAAGGACCTAACATACTTGTATCAAGAGAACTCAGCTAGTATTCATTGTGGTAATCTGTTCTTCATAAGGTTTGCTCAGTTAATAGCATTACTGGAGAGGAAAAATAAGTTTTGGAGAAAATAATTTTTAGAGATCTTATCTTTAAAAGGTCCACTCAGTGAACAGCACTGCTAGAGAGGAAAAATAAACACTGAAGGAAATAAAAATAAAATAAGTTACTAGGTCAGAGACACAAGGAAAAAAATTATTAAAAATATATTTAGCCTCTCCTAGATCACGTGGGTGAGAATTTGTGCTGCCAACACAAAGACAAGCAGTTCCAATGCACCACTGCTTCTGGGTAGAAAGACAGGCAAACTCCTCTCATGTGATTTACAGCCTTTGAAAACCAACTGAATAGTCAGTTATGAGTCTATTCCAACTTGGCAGCAATGAGAAAAAGAGAACAAGACGGCTCTAACATAAATGAAAAGTTGAAAAAAGTAAAGTGCTGGACAGCTTTACAGTATAGTATTTTAGTGACTTTGAAAATAGGGGTTTTAGAAATTGGATACACGCAATAATATTTCAGAATGTATGTTTACGAAAACCTTCAGACAATTTTTCTCAATTACAAATTTGTGATAAGTGAAACTGCAGGGAAATAAAAATAGATATCAAAAGATGAAAAACTATTTCTATATAAGATGGCATATTAGACAGTTGGTAGATCAAACTCTCTTCAACTATAACCCTGGAAAATAAAGATAACAGAGTTCAGCGATAAAACTAGAATTCAAGATAAACCCCAGATAAAGGAAGAAACTGAATGAAAGCAAGTAAGAAGACAAAGAGTACATCGAACTAGAGAAAGTGAGGGCAGGTCATTTTGAACAGCTATCTGGTAAGCCTAGGAAGCTGGAATGCAACAGTACCTGTTCGAGTAACTGGCTGGCAATGGAAAAGGTGTGATTCTCTCCTAATGCACCCTCCTAAAAATGAAATCTTTTTGTGTATTTAAAAAGTCTCCAAAAGATTAAAACAGAGAACCTACAGACCGGGAAAAATGTTTGGCAATGAGATATCTGACAAAACACTCATCTTTAAAATCTTAGGGGAAATTAGAAAAGAAAAAGACAACTCAATTTAAAAAATGGACAGAGGGCAGTGATAGACATTCTACCAAAGAAAACATTCATATGGCAAACCAAGATATGAAGAAATCATTAACTATTAGGGAGATGCAAATGAAAAACTACTGATTTCAAAATTTTATTCAATAAGGGAAAAGATAGTACTTATCAGAAACTTTTATTTAACTTAGAACATGTTCACTATTACTAGTAATTAATACAAATTAAAACAATCTGGAGAAATATTTTATATCTAACCCATTACTCATTCATTGATACAACTCTATTAAGTGTTACATTTTTTTTACTTAAAAGAACCCACTAACATCAGGTCAATGGCAACTCAACGCTGACCTCAATGTAGAATAGAACTGCCCCAACAGGATTTACAAGATTGTAAATATTTATGGAAGCAACTTACACTATCATTCACCAATCTTTTGCTAATCAAGTGTTTATAAACCACAGAGCCATCTCAAAGTTGGTTTAAGATCTGTTTTAAGAAAATATGACATAAGGAAATAATGTTTTTATATTTTTATTGTATTATTTTTTATGTCTACCGTCAAGTCAGATCTGACTGGTATAGGAGGAGATTGCCCCCTCCTTCTCCAGCAGAGCATCTGGTGGATTTGAACCGCGTACCTGTGGGATTGCAGTGCAGTGCCGTGCCACTAGGCCACCAGAGCTCCCTTGTTTTTATTCTTTAAGTGGTTGGGAGCTGAGCTGCCAAGTTAAAGCCACCCGCTGTTCCAAGGGAAAAGACAGGCAATCTTTTGTTCAATCTATAGCCTCTGAAAACCCACTAGAGATTCAGCTATGAGTTGGTTCTGACTTGATGGTCCAAAACACCACCACCATATGGTTAATTAAAAACCAAATAACTTCCTTTTTACTTTGCCTAGATCTCTGAAAGAGAAATTTTTCATAACAACATTAGATGTATACTACTTTAGCTTATAGCTTAAATCATGATAAATAAAACCCATCCCATAAAGCCTGTTATAATAAAAAATTTCAAGATTTAAAATTTTTAAATAAAAACAGTGCTACTATGCAACATACATAACATTACTTTTCCAGCTATATTGCTGTATTATCTTAAAGATGTTTTATAGTATCTCGAAGTATTTTCTTTAAGCTTTATGTGTAAAAAGTTTCACTAAACTTGCATACTTTGACTATTCTAACTAGGAAATAATAATAATAATAATAATAATAATGATAATAAATATACTTTAGAGAATAAATATACTTTAACGTTCTACAACAAATGTTTCAAGTCTTCCTCACTTTTAGAAAGCAAGGTTGTGTCATCTGCAAAATCAAGGTTGTTGATGAGCCTTCCTCTGGTCCTGATAACACATTCTTCTCCATAAAGTCCAGCTTCTTGAATGATTCGCTCAGCATACTGATTGAATAGCAAACAGATTTGCATGGAGGAAGGATACAACCCTGACATACACCTTCTTGATGTTTAATCATGCAATGTTTCCTTGTTCTGTTCAGAACAGCTTCTTGGTCTAGGTATAGGTTTTATATAAGCACAATTAATGTTCTAGAATTCCTATTCTCTCAATGTTACCACAGTGTGTTAGAATCCAAACAGTCAAAAGCTTTTGTACAATCAATAAAACACAAATAGAGAAATTTCTGGTATTCTTTGTTTTTTAGTCAATAACCATATACGTAGTATTATCTCTGGTGCCACAGCCTCTTCAGAATGCAAACTACTGTCCAAATTTCTGAGGAGCCATGATGTTAGTTTGAGGACTAAGGTATGCTTGATTCATACCTTGGTATTTTTAGTCACTTGCTATGCTGCAGAGAGCTGGACAGGATGACAGAAGAAAAACTGATGTCTTTGAACTACGATTTTGCAGAAGAGTGCTGAATATCCCATGGAATGACAAAAGAACAGATATGTCTTAGAGAAGGTGCAGTCAAGAGTGCTCCCTGGAGTCAAGGATGATAAAGCTTCGCCCTGCATACTTTGGGCATGTTGCTAGGAGAGGGACATCATGCTTGGAAAGGTGGAGGGTGGTCGGTAAAAGAGAAGGTCCTCAACCAGAAGGACTGACACAGTGACTGCTGCAATGGGCTTGAATGTGTTAGAAACTGTGAGGATGGCACTGGCTCGGACAGGGTTTAGATTTGTTGTTCACAGGGTGGCTATGAACCATACTTGATGGCACCTAACAAGAACATTCAAGAAGACCAGAAAAATCTGGGTATTATTTTTAAAGCACTATAATCTTCAAAGTTAGCTTATTACTTTGACAGCATATTAACAAGGGGGACAAAAAAGACCTTGAACCTGTATCAGATGCTCCCATCATTTACTAAATGCAGGTGACACCATCCAGCTTTGCTCAAAAGAACAAAATTCTCCTTTCAAGAAATCAAAACTAGTAAAAGAAAATTATTTATTTGTATGTATAATTATTAAACCTCTTTATCTTAATATTATCTACAATACAAAAAAAGATTTGATATTTCATCAAAATAAAAAGAGTTGCAATCAATGGAAGCAATTAAACTACAACTAGTGTTAGGTATTCAATTCTGACTATGGTAATCAAAAAGATGAGATTTTAACACACACATATACACACAAAGAGCAGAGTGGTTTTGACTTTCAATACTAAACTTGGTGGAAATTTTGGTTTCTAAACAAATTGAACATTAAAAAAAACCAACACAACTCAACAACACATTGCCTTTGAGCCCCTGGGATACCTGTCCATGGCACCAGGTGTTAAGCTGCAGCATAAGTGCATGAATTTGCCCTCAGTGGGGCCCTAGCCCACTGGAGACAGCCCTCTTAACCGTGAAAACAGTGGGTTTCGCATTTTAGGTCTCAACTCTTGTGATGATTCATTGGGAAACAGGTAAAGATGGAGGCTCTGAGGCCTGTGTGTCACTGTTGATTGCTTTGCTTTCTCCAAGACGGACTAGTGTGCACTGTAACTTAACCAGTCCTTGGTCATGACCCAATAAACTTTGGTGTTACTACAACAACAAATCACCTGAACAAAACTACAGACTAGAGGGCCCTGTAAAGAGACCTCTAAAGCAGAGTAAATGAATCAAGTCTAACATCAGATTAATAAAATTTATTAATACTTATTAAGTTAAAGTTAGACTAACATTTAGGAGGGAGGCCCAGGCTGAGTATGCCGGGACCAATCTCAGGACCCCTGGGGAGTCGGGGGCCCTCCCCACCCCCACCCGCCTTCACCCTGGGGCCAGTCAGCAGGGCCAGGGCCTCCTGGCTGCCAAGCAAATACCTCGAGCCAGCCACCAGCCACAGGCCAACCTTCCCCTCTGTTCATGGCCTTGGGACTTGGAATGCAGGTTCAGGAGCCAGCTTGGGGGGAGTTTTTTGGGGGGGTCATGGTCAGCCCAGACCCTAGGACCCAGTCTCCCACTGGGATCCAAGGCCCAGCATCTCAGTGATAGCAGGGGCTGCTAAGGCGCAACCTCCTGCCCCCCTGGTATCAGCAGTGGGCTGGGGTGGCCTGTCCTAGGAGGCTGCTGCTGGGGAGATCTTCTCCTGTCCCCCTCCAGTGACACTATGCAATTCCTGGCCCCCAGGACCAAAGCCATGAAGGGCAGCAGGGCTGGGCCGTGTGTGGCGAGGCAGCCTCTGCCAGCAGACAGGGTCTTGGGGCCCAGGCACACACAGCCGGACCTATCCCCCCCACCCCCTCAGGGCCCCCGCTGCCTGGGGCCTGTCCTGGGGCTGGGGCCTTAGCAAAAGCAGCAAGAGCACCCCCCTTGGGACACACCCCCTCGGGCCTCCTTTGTACCTCCCCTTTTCTCTGAGCTGTGAATATGTTTAACTCTGTAAACACAGACATTCCTCTGATACTCCCTGCTTTCAGCTAAGATCCCTTTAACATTAGCTACAATATCCCTAGTACCAAGACCCCTTCTAAACCCAGCCTGAACTTCTAGCAGTTCTCTGCTGATGTGCTGTTCCACTCATTTTTGGATAATCGTCAGTAGAATCTTGCTTGCATGTGAAATCAATGAGACTGTTCTACAGTTTACACACTCTGTTGGGTCACCCTTCTTTGGGATGGGAACAAATATAGATCTCTTCCAGTCAATTGGCCAAGTGGTTGTTCTCCAGATTTCTTGGCACAACTTGGTGAGCACATCCAGGGCAGCATCTGTTAGCTGAAAGAACTAGGGATTTTGAACATTTCTTCATGTGTTTGTTGGCTACCTGGATCTTTGGTGAAGTGTCTGTTCATATCCTGTGCCCATTTTTCAATTGGATTGTTTACCTTTATCTTGTGGTGGGAAGTCTGTTTAAATTTGAGCCTGATCACCTTTTAAGGCAGAACCTACTGGTAAAGTCATTCACTGAGTAGCCAATGAGATTTTTATTAGTTTTCTCTCTCAAATAGGAGTAGAAAATAACATCAAGCATTAAAGATTAGGGTCAAATGAAAAAATAACTCTAGAGATTTCTTTTAAAAAAAACTCTAAGTTGGTTTTTACTTTCTAAAATGTTTTGTGCCAATTAACAAAACCAGTGGTTTAAAAATCAAAATATGAGGGGGAGGGGTGGGCAGGGAGAAAAATGCAACAATAAATGAATGGAAATACAAAAATCTCTGTAAATATTCATTAAAATTAATAAAATAAGGTGGTGGGAGGGGTGTGGGGGGGCTGTATACCAAAGAAAGAATTTCTCTTTTACTTTTCAAAGAGAGGAGTGAACTGGGGGGGGTGGGGGGAAGACTGGACAGGGAGAAAAGTACAAGAATGAATGAATGGAAATCCAAAATGTCTGTAAATGTTCATTAAAATTATTAAAATAAAATTTTAAAAAATTAATAAAGTTTTTTAAAAATTAAAACAATAAACAACAAATCCTGAATTACGAACTGAATAGTTGGAAAAAAGGAACATACACTATGAGAAAGACTTCTTAAAAATTAAAAAGACAGTTAAACTTGATTAGGATATGCCAATTACTAACATTACTCAACAATTGTTTGTGCAAAGATGTTTTCTATCCACTCCATATGTTTCAGAGAATTCCTAGCATTTATTCACTAGACTTCAGTTTGATAGTTTAAAATATTGCTGGATATAGTATACATTCCCAATGTAGAGAGGGGGACAGGTGATAAAAACCATTCAGTAGCCTAGGGGTAAGAAGCTGCATTGCAATCCCAAAAGCATGCCAAGTTCCACCTGTGTGATTAACTCTGCCTCTGAACACCCGTTGGAGAGGCAACTATGAGTTATTTCTAACTCAACAGCATACAACAATAATTAACATTTAAGAACCACCACTTTAACAGCTATTCTAGTAAAAGAGCAAAAAGGACAACACAAAGGCAAGGAAGAAAATATACATAAGCATGAAATCTATACAGATAGATAGCTGTGACATTTCAGTGAAGAGACAATCTTAAACACGTCCAGGAGATGGGGAAAGAAACAGGTCACATTCAGGAAAACAAGAATTAGAAAGGTATTAAACCTTTCTCTAGTAATCATTAGTATTAGAAGAAACAAAGTAAAAACCTCTCAGAGTAAATTAATTATCTCCATATCATATATATTTTACTTGAAGATATAGGAAATTGAAGAAATAAAGATGAAAATGTTGTATTGAGAACACAGCAGTTACAACTGAGAATCCAAGGGAATATTTAGGAACAATGAGTGAGTCCTGGAGAGTAAACTGAGTTCCCACTGCAGAATCAAGAAAATGAGATCCAAGAAGGAAATACTGCAGGGATGAGGTAGTGAAAGGATGTTATGATACCTGTGAGAATTTGTAATAATCTAAGAAGGGAATAAAAGTTTGTAATACAAGGGGGAGAAGGATTCTAGGAAAAACATACACTGCACGGGGAAGTTATAGACCTCTGAGTAGCAATATTTTTGTAGTTATAATAATAATGTAGTCTGTTCATCTGCAAGCTTTAAGTAATTAAAAAACAGAAGATAAGTATGACAGAACTTAGTATGCTTTATCTATGTAAAAAATGATAGCAAAAGAAGAAACGAGAAAAAGGGAAGGGTAGGTATTGGTACCACATCCTGTTTTGACAAACAGGAATAAATAGTATCTCCTAATTGATTAAGGGAGTCTGGTGGCCAGTGGTAAAGAGTTGTGTTGTCAACTCAAAGGCACATGGTTCAAACTTATCAACTATTTGATAAGCAAAAGATGGAAATCCCCTGCAATTTACTGCCACTGAAAACCCATTAGAGGGTCAATAATGATTAGGTTCCAACTCAACAGTACATTAGCTATATACAGAACAGTCCTACTCTGGCCTAGTGGGTCAATATGAATCAAAATTGACTTGACAACAGGTATAGTTTGGGGTTTTGGCCACAACTATTCACATTACTTTGCAAAGGTTTCCCAATATGCAGAACATGAAGCACAGTAATAGAGACAAAATATTTAGCAGTACACTGACTTTTATCCATTTGCTTATCATCTATCTACCTACCTACCTACCTACCTACCTACCTATCCATCTATCCACCCATTCATCTACCCACACAGCAGTCTACTCAGAGTTACTCTATTTACACCAAGTGCATTTTATTAAGTGACAAGTAAATAATAATAAAGGTAGTATGCAAATATGGCTAAAGCTGGGAAGAGCACTTCTAAAAAAGAAGCTTGTGAAATAATTCAATAGGTAAAACAGGTGATAAGTGAGCTAAATTCTTACATGTCATAAATTAAAATTATACTTAATAAATACAATCAAAGCCATAGGATTTAATTTAGAAACACAAACTTCATTAAATACTATAAAAGCTGAGAGTGCAGAAGAGAGGAGGCCATTAGAAATATGCCTTTCTGTAGACTGGAGGCTCTCGTGGCCTAATGTTAAGAAGTTATACTATCAATCCAAAGGCACGTCATTTGAATTAACCAGCTACTCTGTGGTAGACATAATGTAATCTCCTCCTGTGCACTTTACTTGCTCTGAAAACTCACAAGAGGGTCAGCTATGAGTCTGTTCCAACTCAATCATACATAACAACGACGATGTACTATTTATACTAAGCTCTGGTAATACAGTGTTGTTAACCCAAAGGTGGGTCTTTCTGGCAATCTGAATCCACCAGTAGCTCCATGTGAGAAAGTTAGACAATTTCCTCATATGCAATTATTGCCTCCTGAAAACTCACAGGCAGGTAGGTAGGTAAGCAATGAGTCAGTATGTTTAGACTTAATAACAATAGGTTTAAAAATCTGTTGGGTTTTTTGGTATTTTTTCTCTAATAAACTACATGATTTTTAATGATGGGCATATGTATGTTACTTTGACAGGGAAAAACAGATAGAAATGGTCAGCAAAGTCAAGTCGTAGCAAGAAATAAACAGAGTAAAGCCTTCCAAAGTGACTGACACTTACCTACTGGGACCTGAGGGGCTCCAAAGCCCAAAGTGGCTGTCGTAGTATTAAATCCAGGGCCCCCAAAGGCTCCTGTACCCAGAGGCCCTCCGATCTTAGGTTGGTTGCTCCCAAACAAAGATGCCTGTCCAGCACCAAGAGCTACAGAGACAAGAGGAAAGAAAAAAGTGCCACAGAAGATCCTTTGAATGTTGTGCTACAGTCAGTTAAAAATAGAATACATTTGGTTAACTTCAAAAATGACAACTCATTTCAACAAAATAAGAACTAATACAGTGATAGGAATTGTGTAGGTCAAAATCTTTAACCTCTGCTCTCAACCATAACATAAAAAAAAATCATATATATCTTAGAGGTTTATTCAAAGATGGAAATTAATAAATACATATAAAGCATTTAGAAGAAGTCTGATATATGCTCAAAAGTAAACTATTATAATTCATTTAATCTTCAAAGTTCCACAATTGAACCTACTATTTTATAGATGAGAAAATGGTAGGCATAATATACTATAATAAATATAGTAAATGATGGAACTGGAGCTTAAATCTAGAAAGATCTAGCTCTTAAATGGCTATTCTGCACTATAATATTTATTAAAAGAAATAAGCAATTCACCTTAAAGGTCATTCATTGTCAATTACAATACTCTGGTAATCCAGTCATTATCTCATCTTTTTGACTAACATATTGACTAGACTATTCAAATCCAAGAAATTTTTGAATAACAAAAATTAAGACTTTTAGTGCTCACTACCTCATGAAAATGCTTTTGTCTAGACAAAGGCAAGGAAGCACTGGTGGCAGAGTCTAAAGGAAGTTGTGCTAACCCACAAGTGGCAGTTTGAAACCAATAGTGATTCTGCAGTAGAAAGATAAAAGGCAATCTCGCCTCCTGTGTGATTTACAGCTTCACACAAACCTGGAGGGTCAGCTAAAAGTTGGCTGTGAATTGATGGCAATGAAAGAGATAGAGAGCAGAGAAAGAGAAAGAAGCAGAAAGAAGAGACCAAGAGTGACAAAGGCAGATGTGTTACAAAAAGCTAAATGTTGGGGGAGCTCTGGTCGCCTAGTGGCAAGAAGCTGTACTGCAATCCCAGAGGTGCACGGTTCAAATCCACCAGATGCTCTGCCGGAGAAGGAGGGAAAATTTCCCTCCTGTACCAGTCAGATCTGATTTGATGGTACACGCACAATAAATAAATAAATAAATAAAATAAATTAAATAAATAAATAAATAAAGCTAAATGTGCTATGATGTTACTAAACAGACTCATGTTTCAGCATAAATCAGATTTGATCGAGTAAGAATGTTTCAACAGGGGAAATTCAATTTTAAAATGAATCTTGTTTTAGTAGTTTATATTATCTGCAATTATTTTAAATGGGAAGATTTTAGTTAATAGAAATTATTGACCATGTGGAGGACCTAAAATTCCTTTTACTGTATCATCCATATCTTGGGAGACATGATATGAGGAAAACCACTTCAAACACTTAATAGACAGATATCAAAAAAGTTATATGTGAATTGCTTTAAGATCATATCCACAGAAAAAGGATATGAAATTTAAATCTAGAATATACACAAATTAGTGAAGGTGACTGTGAATGGACAAAACATTTTTAATAGGATTACTAAGTTACCAGCTAGAAAATGTCATGTCATACAAACTGTTTATAGTATTACTGTGGAACAAAAATGGAAATGCTCATTTAATGAGTGTTATTTAGTCTAAGCACTTGGAGAAAACAAAAATCACACCCTAAGAGGAAACGGAAAACGTTTTCCATTAAAATTGGTCCTTAAAAACTACTGGAGGAGGGTGGGAAGGAAAAGACTATGAGATAACTCTTAAGAGATAGGAAATATTTGAATATTGAATGTTTGTACTGTCAGCTACTAATGAAAAAATCAGAAAGGACCTGTTATAGAAAATGTTTCTACAAAGGCATGAAAGAGAGAGATCCCAAGTAGAGAGACGGACAAATGACTATAACATGGTGTTATGGACATAGGGATGATGGCACAGGATACAGCAAGATTCATATCTTCTGTTAAGAGGGTTGCTATGAATTAAAATTAAACTCAACAGCAGCTAACAACAGCAACAAAGCATGAACAGGAACATTTACCACTCAAAATGAGATTCCACAGTGCCAGTAACTTAGCTCATTTGTCTAAATATAGTCCAAAGATATGATGCTATTCTATCTGTGATCCCATAAAATGCATGAGTTCATGCAGATGGGTGTTTGTATATAAATGTTTAATAACACACGTACTCTCAAAATTAAATGTCTACTTTTACATATGTTATAATAAATATTCAAGGATATAGTTGCTGATTCCAATGATTATTATTTTCATTCATTCATCAACTAAAGCTAAGGGAGGAATAGAAATTGTATTGCTTCTATCTGTCCTTTACTTTCTATAAACACCACGTGAATAAAGAAAAAAATAAAAACAATGTAATTTATTTTTTATTAAAGAATTATTCAAGGAAATTGGAATATATTAAAACAAATAAAATGTTTAAGCTATTGTATTTTTGCAAAGCAGAAACATCTAAGGAAAAACTTATACATTTTGCATATGTAATATTGAACTGTTAAAAAAAATTCTAATAAAGACCTGAAAGAATCAAATATTAAAGACGAAAAAACAACTTTCAACACACAGAGTAGTAGAATCTTATCCAGGTCTACGTTTATGATTTAAAACTTTAGAATCAAAACAATCCTTGAAAAATCCATACCAAAGGTTTTCCTCTATAATTAGAAGACAAATCTTGTTTCTCTGGCAAAATATTAAATAATATATTCTACTTTTATCCTTCTAGCTTTAATATTTTGCAAAATGCATGTGGGTAAAATGTGAAAAAGTTAGTCAAATTAATATCCATACTTCACAAAGCTGTAAGAAACAATACTCAAATATGAATTATTATTTGAAGATGCCAATTTCCACTATCATCTATGCCAACATGAATAAAGCCAACAATATAAACAGGCTATGGAAACATGGATCCTTCCATACAACAGAACCAAGACTATAAATTGTCATTGTCTGTTTGCAAAAATGAAATAGAAGGAGCTACCAAAATTAAAATGTGCATACTGTGATAGAGTCTCATCTTATAAATCCTATAGTAGTATTGAGTACAAAATTATTAACATTGCTCTTAGAGTTATTGTTGTATACCATAGAGCCAGAACTGACCCTTAGCTGACCCTCCAGAGGGTTTTCATAAGCAGTTAATCCCATGGGAAGACTGCCCATTCTTCACTGCTAATAATACTAATCAAATGCATACTAGTAAGGGAAATTAACTACTAACTGTGTGTACAGGCATTTACATGTTTTTCCATACATAATAAGGTAACTCATTTTTACATTAACATACCTACAGGTAGTTGCTAAAAGAAAACACCTTCACATTATCACATGACGTGAAAAAACAAGTTAACAGGAGAGTAAGTAAAACAGCAGTCTTAAACATTTACCACATAATATAAAAGACATTATTTTTAAAAAGCAATATATAACTCAAACACAAGTTCTAGAAAACAAACTTAACCTTATTGTAGATAATGATTTTTAAATTCTAGTTCATTTTTTTTATAACAATACTTTTAATCCAAGATATTAAGCATCACAAAAACTAATGTATCTCAGTCTTAGGTTTAAAAAGCACTCTTAAGTATGGTTTCCATTGAAGAATATAGGAAAAACCCTTCATGTAAAATACACATATGTACAAATATGTATGTGGATGTGTGTATAAACAGACATTTGAAAATTAAGTCTAAAAAGATGCATACAAAAATTTTTAATAGTTGTTATTTCGAAGTAAAGTATCATTTACTTTTATATTAATATGCCCTGGTGGGTGCATAATAAATATATCTTGTTGCTAATTAAAAGGTATAGGCAGTTTGAACCCACTACCACCTCTCTGAAAGAAAGAAAAGAATGAAAGTATTTTGCTTTTACTTTTCAAAGAGAAGAATGTACTGGGGGGAGAGGTAGGCAGGGAGAAAAGTGCAATAATGAATGAATGAAAATCCAAAGTCTCTGTAAATTTTCATTAAAATTAATTGAAAGAAAGACAGGCAGTCTACTTACTTAGTAACACATTGTAGGGAACTGAGGCAATGTAGGCATTGAGTCTGGACTTATACAGTTGAAACATTTTTATAAGTACATCTTTTAAGAAAAAGTAAATGGGGAAAAATGTTCAGAGTACAAAAGGAGGTTCTATTAAGGAGCTAACAGATAAATGATCAGACCCTAGAAGCAAAGATAAGCGATACTGGACAATGGAAGCAGAAACTATGAAGATAAAAAGAAAAAACAAGAAAGAAAGCAAAATTGTATGCCTGAACAACTTTACTGAACAGTATGAATTTTAGGACTACCAATACTCTTCACAAGTGTTTAAAGCAGAAAGGTAAATGTTCTCAAAAGCAGTGAAAAAGAATTAATTTGATGATAGAGGTACATTTTAGGTCGGAATCATAATGGAAAGAATTAAAGGGTTTGCACAGACCTTGCAAAACATTAGAACAGGTGTTAAATGCTTCAGTATGTGCTCTTATTGCCTTACTATTAGGGTACTAAAACTTACCTGACGAAACAACTGAAAGTCTCAAATCACTGTTTTGTGATCAAAATAGGAATACTGATATCTAAAAATGTTATCACATTAAAAAGCCTCACATAGTAAGTCTGAAAATTCCACAGAGATACTCAAGTGAGAAGATTTGGAGAAAGGAAGCATGTCAACCCTAAGGTATGTGTGCTGATTATTTTAAGACATTATAAAGTATAAATGTTGGTGATGCTTTATGAATCCATCTGTAAAAATGAAAATCCTGATCTCTTCTATCCAAGCATATAACTAAGTAGAACTCTTAAATCTCAGCAATTAAAAAGAAAAAAAGCCAAAAGAGATCACTTTTTAACCCTTCTTATACCAGCTCCTTACCTGTTCCAAATCCAGCTCCAAGTCCAGCTCCCAGGGTTCCAGTTGTGGGTTTATTTCCAAAAAGGCTATTTCCACTGGTATTTGTTCCAAAGCCTAGAAAAAAGAATGAATAGACTGTACTTTCAACATGACTCTCAATTTTTTCTACGGAGGAGTTTAAAATAAAGTCCTGATTCTAAGTCTTGTATTCTTTCATTTACTAATTAATTCTTAGAATTTCTAAATAGTAGGGTAATTTAATAGTAGGGAGTGGGCAGAGTAAAAGAAAAAAACTTTTTTAATATTGTAAACTAATTCCAGAAGCCTCATATATTTAATTTCAGGCTTGAAATATCATTTTGATATACAGTAGCCAATATTAAAGCAAAGTGATTGTGCTTGAGTTTGCAAAACAATCTTTATGTAAATCTCTAAATCATGTTTTATTTTTAATTAAGAAAAATAAATGCACACCCATGTTTCCTACGGCTTTGTTCACAATAGCAAGGAACTGGAAACAACCTAAATGCCCATCAACAAACGAATGGATAGAGAAGCTGTGGTATATTCACACAATGGAATATTACGCTGCATTGAAAAACAAGGAACTTATGCAATATTATTCAAAATAGGTGACACTGGAGGACATTATGCTGAGTGAAAATCTCAGTCACAAAGGGACAAATACTGCATAGTGCCACTGCTGTAAAATGGGACTGGCATTGGGGTTGGGGGGAGACTGAGAAAGATGGGATAAATAATGTATACTGCATTGAAACAGATGAGGGAGAAAACTGTTTAAAAGGGATATGTGATTAGGTATTATTGTCATGACAGGAGTCCAGAATGAAGGCTGCTTAAAGTGGACCTGGGGGGAGGGACTGTAAAACAATGAAAGAATTTTTCTTTTAGTTTTCAAAGAGAAGAGTGTTCTGGGGGGAAAGAGAGGGCAGGGAGAAAAGTGCAACAATGAATGAAAATCCAAAGTCTGTAAATTTTCATCAAAATTAATTAAAAAAAAGATTAAAAAAAGAAAAAGAATAAAATCTAATTTACTGAAACTATAAATTAAGCCAGTCAAAAAATAAAAATAAAGAAACTAAGAATCTTGCTAATAAATCTGAGAGCTGGATAATGAATAGGGATGACAAAGGAAGAATTGATGCCTTTGAGCTGTGGACTGTCAAAAGAACAAATAAGTATGTCTTGGAGAAGGTGCAGCCAGAGTGTTCTTTGGAGGCAAGGACGATGGGGCTTTGCCTCACTCACATACCTCGGGCATTAGGATAGGAGGGGCTATTCCTTGGAGAGGGACATGATACTTGGAAGGGTGGATGGAAGTTTGGCAAAGGAGAGGAAGACCTTCAACCAGGTGAACTGACACAGTGACTACTGCAATGGGCTCTAGTGGGTCAGAAAGTGTGAAGATGGTACAGAATTCAGATAGGTGGCACGGGGTTCAGATCCACTGTTCATAGGGTTGCTATCCATTGTACTAGACATAATGGCACCTAACACCACCACAACAAGGTTCTTACTAAAAGAAACCACCTAGACATGTCTTTCTCTCACAGCTGTCAAATGGAACAAGCTTGATAGCTGACCCAGAAGGTTTCTGGAGGTTGCAAATTATACAGGATAGGATCATCTACCCACCAAGTGGCTGGTGAATCCAAAGCACTAGGGTGACTCTCACTAGGTGTACAGTACAACGCCCTAGGAATACACTACCAGAGATAAAAATCTCTATAGTAGCTACTATTCTGAATTGGTGAAAATAGTATAGGAAATAACAAATAGCTAATCATGAAGTTTTAAGGGTCTAATAAGTTCATAGATGCATTCAAGTAGTTAGTTGGTACTAAAAAGAGATCATAAATTCTGAATAACTTCTTTTAAGTTTAAGAAACGTTTCTTCAATTAAGAAACTATCTTGCATCATGATGCTAATTGTGAGACAATTCTATGGTTCCCACCCCTTCAAGTCCATAGGTTCCCCCTAAAAAGATGCTTGATTGTGGTTACTGTATTTTTTTAAAATACACTAAACAATTATACTCCTCCTATAATTAAATACCAACAAATGAACATATCATGAGCCTTTCAGGATAAAAGGCAAGGGAGGGGAATCAACTATTCATCAGAAAACTATGTTTAGCAAACATCTGACATCACTTTACCATTCCACAAGATAGGAAAGAGAATATTTCAAAACACATGACAATATCACCAATAATATTATAACACTTTGTTATGCCTAATATTTGGCTTATTATCTCAAAAAAAGAAGCAAGAAGAAGAAGAAAAAATCTGAACTAAAAGAATAAAAACCATTTCAAAGTGAACATATTTTTTGGAGGGAAGGGAACATATTTTTAATTCCCTTTTAAAGCCCAAAAGTAATCTGATATAATCAATCCTTGATTTAATTCATGCACTTATTATTTCTTATCTACTCAAGCACAATCAACTTTTATTTAGTAATAAAGAAAATCTTGAAAACATTCTATATTTTTTTGAATTATAAAAAGAAAGGATCTTTGAGGCTCATGAACAGCAAAAAACGAAATGCATGTGAAGTATCTCACATCCACAACAGGGAAAAAAGTTCCAATTTACACTGCTTATACCACACATTCTGATTCTCACAAAAGTTCACCAACTCTATTATTTCAAAACAATTTTACATATTAAAACTAAAGATAATTCAAATTCAGTATGAAAGCTAACAAGGCAAGTCAGATAAATATGCAAACTTGCAACGTCAAATAAGTGAACAAGAGTAGTGCTCGCTTCGGCAGCACATATACTAAAATTGGAATGATACAGAGAAGATTAGCATGGCTCCTGCGCAAGGATGACACGCAAATTCGTGAAGCGTTCCATATTTTCGACCCTGAAATTAACGAGTCTGTAACTAAGGCTAACTCCTTTCACCTACAAATTTTGTCTTTGGATACAAAGGTAAGTGGATAGTCCTTATGGAGGGACTGTTTAAAAAAAAAAAAAAAGAGGCAGGGAAAAGAAAAAAAGTGAACAAGAATATAAATATATTCATACAATAAAAATCTCCCAATCTGAAATACACAACAATGAAATAATATCAAGTATTTTAAAAGGATAGCCTTTAAAAAAGCTTATAAACGGAGCTCTGGTGGCCTAGTGGCAAGAAGCTGCACTGTAATCCCAAAGGCGCATGGTTTGAATCCATCAGATGCTCCACTGCAGCAGGAGGGGCAACCTCCTTCTGTGCCAGTTGGATCTCACAGTACACAAGGGGGTGAGAGGGAAGTCTATAAGCATCCTATCAGATAAAAATAATAGTTAACTCTGATAATGAAATAAAGTAAGAAAAAGAACTTTTGTTAAATCTATATATAACATTCTTAATGAGGTAAAAATTAGTTCTTGAGGGCCTAAAACATTGTAGATATATTAGTTTGTGGCTGTCCAAGGAGCCATATTACATAAAGAGACACACAATAGATCTCTTTACAATTTAATTCCTATGAAAAGTATTACAATTTCATAGGAAGAAAAGTTGATTAGTAAAAAAGTTCTACACAGGCTCCTCTAGAAAGGACTAGTGAGTATCTCTGTTTTATATACTTCTGGGCAAATATGTAATATTCAAATTGGTTATTAAATATGTTCTTTTTGTCCAGCCATCAAAAACTGAAGACTGGTCTAACCACGGAAATATACCAAATGGCTTTATTTTTGTGCTCATCTCTCAGAAAGAAATCAATGTCTGGTTATGGATCTGATATGAGAGCTTCAACAAATAACTGAACAACTATTTCTCTTTGAAATAAAACCAACTTTGTAGAACTGATTTAACATTAATGCTATTATTGATTGAAAACTTAGTGACAGAAGTACTTAAAATGTTTTTATACTAATTTAAAAATTTATAGAATATCAATGAAGATTATGTTTATTATTATAATTATTCTAATTGCTGATTAATATTACCTATCATTTAAATGTTTTTGTTCAGACATTCCTCTAGGTCGTATAGCCCTGGTGTACAAGTTGCCATACAGTGGTAACTTGTGGTTGCTGTGAGGCTGAACACTGTGACACTGATGTGTCAAATGCGTCAAGGGCTGGTTACCCAACGCGGACAGAGAGTGGAAGCTTGGAAGGAGGGGTGGCATCCACTTCCGTAATAGTTTGCCTCTGGAAACCCTATGAACCTGGAGAGAGGATGAGAGACACCCAAGCGTTGAGGACTCTCCTTCATAGGGTCACTATGAGTTGCCTGTGACTCGACGGCACTTAACAACAAACAACAATGTCATTTAAATGGCCATTAACATTTTTAATGATAATTCAAAATATACATCATCTTAAGCAAATTTGTATCTTTTTAAAAAATTTTTATCATTTTAATTTTCTCAGTTACTAGTCAAGTATCAAAGAAAATGTATCCTTATTTTACAATGATCACTACAGAATGAATTTTCTGATTGGTACTCTACAGGTTTAGTTTGCTTGGCTCCACAGTCAACACTCTCAGCACCGGTAGCCAGGAAATTAAAAGATGTATTGCCATGGGAAAGTCTGCTGTTAGGGACCTCTCCAAAGTACTGAAGAGCAATGATGTCTCTCTGGAGACTAAGGTGTGTCTGATACAGGCAATGATCTTTGCAATCATTTGTTATGCATCAGAGAGTTGGACAACGACTAAGGAGAATAGGAGAATTGATGCCTTTGAGCTGTGGTGCTGGAGAAGAATATTGAGGGTACCATGGACTGCTAGGAAAACAAACATTTATTCTGGAGAGGGTTAAACCGGGTTGCTCCTTGGAGGCAAGGATTCCGGTCCTTGGAGAGGGACATCATGCTTGGTAGGGTGGAGAGACAGCGCAGGAGGGGAAGGCCCTCTATAAGGTGGATTGATTCAGTGACTGGGGTAATTGGGATGGGTGTATCGGAGATGGTGCGATTGGCACAGGACAGAGGAGAGTTTAGGGCTGTTGTACACAGGGTCTCTATGAGTTGCAAGCCACTCAACGGCACATAACAACAACAACAACAGCAACTCTACAGGCACATCTTGTTCAAAGAAAAAAACAAGAGAATTTGTGTGAGGAAAGGTAACTTACAACTATTCTAATTTTCTCAATCATGTCCATGATTCTGATACCTCACATCAGGCCACAGCTTACCTGAGAATTTTTAAATATTCCCAATAATGATTGAGGAGAATGATGTGTGGTATAGTCAGTGTAACTTTAAGAGAGTCAAACCTGCTTTTTATATGTACCAAAATTGGAAGTGTTTGTATTGGTTCCTAAAGTCAGAGTTGGTTTGTTACCAAAGAGCCCGCCACTGGTTGTACCAAATGAAGGCGCACTGGTTGTGCTGGTTCCAAATGTAGTAAGCTTGTTATTTCCAAACAGGGTCTAAAAAGAATAGAATACAGACAGTTTTAAAATAACAAAAAGATATTCACACTACAGTAAATAGACACTACCTCATGTATACTAAATGGAGTGGGAAGTAGGTTGAAAAAATGTCAAATTTTATAAAAAACATAGAAGATAAATCAATGTACAATTTTTTCCTTGGTTTTTTTTTTTAATTAAATGAAAATTTTCTTTTATACTGTTTTACTTACAAGGCTTGTATCCACTGTTTTTCACACTGGATGTTTCCCATTTCCTTTACCCATCCCTCCCTCCAGCCATCAAATTGTGAGCATATGATTAAACACACACTGCCACCGGCCGTCCCCCCACCCCTCTGATCTCCCCTGCCCCCCTTGGCTCCTCATTCACATTCTACAAATAATGGTCTTATACAGTAATTGTCCTTATGGGACTGAGTTAGTTCCTTCTGCATAATGCTCTCCAGTTCCCCCATATATTTTCTTTCTTTATTGTTGAAAATATACACAATTAAAGAAACACCGAATCTTCAATTTCTACATGCGCAATTTAGTAACGCTAACTGCATTCTTAAAACTGTGCAACCATGTTCACTCTCCTTTTCTTGGTTGTTCCTCTCTCCCTATTATAAACCCGCTCCTCTTAAGGTTCCTATCCATTTTTTTAGGTGCTATTATCAATTTCATCCCAGACAGACAGCTCTTAAAGGAACATAATGCTGAAGACATCACATTTTTACTGTCTTGCTTTCTCTAAATCAATAATACACTTTAAATGGGGGAATTGTAGAGTACATGTAGAGCATTATAAAGTACCTATCTTGATAATGCTGTTATTAATAATAATAAACTGAAGAACTTTGAAACAATACATACTTAATTTTTCAAATTTCTATGAAAGCACGAGTAACAATTTTGTTTCTTTCTAAACTACAACAGCAAGTTCAGTTTCTTTTAATGGATACTTTATACAGACTGACCAGATGCTCATGCAACTGGGGTGTTAAGTAATGAGACAGAACTTACTATTGTATCTAAGAGGAGCTTTGGTGGAATAGCGCATAACATGTCAGGATGCCAACTGAAATGTCAGCAGTAGATTTACAGACTCAGAAATGCAATGGAGGGTTTCTATGAGTTGGAACCAAATTAGTTAACAGTGTGTTTGAGTTTGGGGTTATTATTTTGACATCAAATAAACTCCTGACTAGTAATTTTACTAAAAACAATTGTACTTAGCCTCCAGCAATACAGCCCCAGAAATTCTGGCAACTTGATCAACACTGAAAACTTTTTGTAACTTCCAAACATAATACCAATTTATCACTCAAAACAAAAGATGAAATTGGGAGTTTACAACTAATTAACAGTAAAGGCATTTCAATGTAAATGGAATAATTTAATCTCAACCTACTAGGATGCTGGTTTGCTCTCATAAGTAAACTGTACACAACACACAGAGTAAGATAACAAAATTTTTAAAAGTAAATTTACTAATTGAAAACACATCGAACAACCAATAAAAGTATGTGAAGGAGACACAAATCTTTACTGAGAAAGGCTTAATATACACGCCTTCAAATTAGAGTAAATTATAAAAACCTACCGAACTAACAGCACCAAATCCAGTAGTAGTCTGTCCAAAAAGACCAGTTCCTGTTCCAAATGCTGTTCCAGTGCTGGTATTTGTAGCTGTCCCAAAAAGACCTCCAGGTTGTGAAGCTTGGGTTACTCCAAATAAACCCTGCAAAAGGTTAATCTATATTAAAAGAGATCTAGGGTAGTGTTAAAAGCACAATAAATAGGTGCTGTCAAGTTGATTGCAAATCATAGAGAGTACTGGCGTAACAGTTATAATTTTTTTAAAATTATGTTAAAGATGCTATTATTTTACATAAAGCATCTCTTTTGTCTTAAAAACCCTGAAAAGCTGAGATAATCCCTATTTCTGAAATTAAAATATAGCTTATTTTTAGGCATCAGAGTCAATTCTAAGTCACAGCAACCCTGATTGACACCTTGCACAATCCTGCTCCATCCTCAAAATCTTCAATGTACTTAAGCCCAATGTTGTAGTCACAGTGTCAAATCATCTTGTTCAGGATCTTCCTCTCCTTCCCTGAGCCTTCGCTTTATCAAGCATGATGCTGTTTCAAAGACTCCAAGTTTCCTACTAATAACGTGCCTACAGTACTTAAGACAGTTTTACCATCCTTTTCCCTAAGGAGAACCTTGCCTGTACTTCTCCACAGAAAAGATCAGACTGTTCTCTTGGTGGCTGTTGTGTGCTGTCAACTCAACTACAATCCATAGTGATCCTATATGAACAACTCTGAACTCTGCCTTATTCTGAGGCAACCTCATCATGGTGGACACACCTGACTCCACTGCCACAGTGACTGTTATCAATTCACTTTGTCGAAGGTCTTCCTCTCTTGCGCTAACCTTCTATTCTTCCAAGCATGATGTCCTTCAAGAACTAAACCTTCCTAACAACATGCCCAAAGTATGCGAGACAGAATTTCTCTATCCTTGCTTCCAAGGTGCACCCGATTCACTTTCTCCAGGACAGTCCTGTTGTTCCCTTGACAGTCCATGGTATCTTTAGTACTCTGCAGTACCTGGTATTATATTTAATATTCTTTACCAAGCTACAATTCAAAGTAATAATTTATTCTTCAGTATTCCTTTTTAGTTTTCTAACCTTCTTAGGAATCAATTCTTCAGTCTTCCTTACTCACTGTTCAACTTTCACATACCTATGAAGCAAATTTTAAAGAAACTTTTGCAGGAGATCAAGGAATGTAGTCTTCAGTATGGATTGCATCTCAATGTCAGGAAAATGATGATTCTTACCATTGGACCAACAGGCAGCATCATGATGGGTGGAAAGAAGACTGAAACTGGTACGAGCAGTTAGGAAATAAGGAGATGCACTGCACTGGGAAAATCTGCAATTAGGGACCTTTCCAAATTATTGAGGAGTAATGATGTCAGTTTGAGGAATAAGGTACATCTGATTCAGGCCATAGTCTTTCCGAAAACTAGCTATGTATCCAAAACCTGAACAATAAATAAGGAGGACAAGAAAAGAATTGATGCCTTTGAGCTGTGGTGTTGGAAAGGAACACTGAACATTTCATGGACGGCCATGGATAGATATGAATGAATAGATTCAGAGAATGAATAGATATGTTTTGGAGATGGTGCAGCCAGAGTGCTCTTTGCAGGCAAAAATGAAAGGGCTTTGCCTCACATACTTTGGACATGTTGCTAGGAGGTGCTATTCCTTGGAGAGGGACATGATGTTGGGAAGGGTGAAGGGTTGGCGAAGGACAGGAAGACTCTTAACCAACTGGAATGATACAGGGACTGCTGCAATGGGCTCTTGGCACAGACTAGAACAGGGTTCATACCTTTTGTTCACAGGGTCGCTGTAAGTCATACTCGACGCGAAAGCGCCAAACCTCATGAAGCAAATGAAAATATCATGGCTTGGGTAGGGTACACTTTAGTCTTTAAAACAACTTTGCTCTTTAGCATGTGAAAGCAGATTTGTCCAATGTAATTAATAGTCTTTTGATTTCTCAACTACTGCTTCCATTTTCTCCATTTATCATCTGCTTACTGCTCAAGTTGGGAAGATTTTTGTTCTACTTTGAAGGGTAGTACATACTGAAGGCTACAGTAAGTGCTGCAAATCCTCTTCAGCAAAAAGTTCCTTTTCAGCAAAGTTGTGTAATAATGCAGATAAATCTTCCTCTACAACTAAGGCCATATTCTTTGCATAGTTTAGATTCTCACATTACTTTCTCAGCATACATACTGAAATACAATTCTGACTCACAGCGACCCTGAATATTGGGTTTCTGAAACTATAAATTGCAATGAGAGCACATTGTGCAATATTCTCCTTAAGAGTCTTGGGAAATTAACAATACAACTTGCTATGTATTACACCACCAAAGCTCCCTACATGCTCAATGTTGTTGTTTGTAGGGCCATTGACCTACATAGTTCATAGTGACCCTATGAACAAAAGATCTGAATATATATGATGAAAGAATGCAACTCTAATGTACATCTTTCCATGTAGTATTCTCTTGTCCTATTTGGTCAACTAAGTCTTGGTTTATGTATAGGTTTTGTGGGAACACAATTAAATGTTCCAGGATTCCCATTCTTCTCAATGTAAGCTGTCATTTGTTATGATCCACAGTCAAATGCCTTTGCATGGTCAATAAAACACAAGCAAACATTTATTATTATTATTTTATATTTTTGTAATATTTTATATTATGATTGACTGTCTTTTAGCAAAGATTTCATGTGACATCAGTAGTGATAGCCCTTGTTCCACAGCCTTGTCTAAACCAGCTTTGGGTTCTAGCAGTTCAGTTCTCTATGTTAAATAGTGCTCTAGCCATTTTAACAATCTTCAACAAGATTCGGTATGATTCCGATATTAACCATATTGTTGGTGGTGGTGTTGATTGCCTTCGAGTCGAGCACAACTCATATTCTGTTAATTTTTTAATTTTGTTGGCTTTTCTGGAATGGAGACATTATGACAGATGGTGAAAGGATTGAAGCTGTCAATGATTTAATCTTTCTCAGATTAACAATCAGCACTTTTGAAATCTTACTCAAGAAATCAAGAGACATACTGCATTGGCCAAGTCTGTCAGAGACCTTTCCAAACTGCTGAAGAGCAATGATGTCAGTTTGAAGACTAAGGTGTACCTGATCCAGGTCATGGTCTTCTCAATCATCTGCTGTATATCAGAGAGCTGGACAATGAATAGGGATGGCAGAAGAACTGATACCTTTGTGTTGTGGTGCTGGAGAATAACACTGGCTACCAATGGACTTCCAAAGAACAAATATGTATGTCTTTAAAAGTGGAGCCAAAGTGTTCCTTGGAAGCAAAGATGGTGAAATTTTATCTTTAACATTTTGGACATATAGCTAGGTGGGGCTACTGCTTGGAGAGAGGCACATCGTGCTTGCCAAAATGGATGGTTAGGGTGGGAAGGGAGAAAAGTGCAACAGTGAATGACTAGAAACCCTAGGTCTCTGTAAACTTTGATTAAAATTAATTTTTTAAAAAACCAAACAGAAAATTATTAGTGTACAAATGGGAAAAAAAAAGGATGGTTAATGAAGGAAAGGAAGATCCACAATGAGATGAATTAACACAGTGCATCATCCAATGGGCTCAAGTGTGTCAGCGATGAGGACAGCACTGGGGAGGGCAGGGTTCAGTCAGCTATTCACAGGGTCACTATGAGCTGTACTCCACTTGATGGGACCTAATAACAAAAACAATCTACCCAGATAGCTATAATCTAAAATTTTTTCCATGGACAACTGAGTACATTAAAGGCTGCATCTGTTTACTGACACACCTCAATTAATATCCTGCCAATTTGGAGAGGGTTATTTTTTGCCAGTGCTTTCAGTGTAGCTTTGCCTTCTTCCTTCTATTTACTGGTCCTTGAACACAAAGGTCCTACTTCCCAAACTGCTTCAAGTCTAAAGAGTTCTTTTTTGTACAGTGACTGTGTATTCTTTTGATATTTTCTGCATTAGTCTGTATTTTGCCCATAGAATACTTTATTACACAACAATCAATGCTCACATAGCATTCAGAGCAGGTAAAAACTGACCCAAAATAAAACAATGTATATGAATGAAACACAATGTACATGAATGTAAACTACATATTAAGAAATTAACATCATGTAAGTGAAACAAACACAGTAAAAAACTTACTAAAGAAGTTTTGCCTTCTAAGTGGCAAGAAAACAAATTCATTGCTATATCTAAACCCCTGGTGATTGAAGATTCTAAGTTCCAAGATCCTGTATAGCTACTAACACTTTACATAACCCTTTTCTCTTGCGCTAGTTTAACACTGACTCAAAAATTCAATGCTTTAAAAGATGGCAGAGTTGAAAGGTCCCTGGTTTGATCCTGGGTTTCAGCACACAAAAAAAGACAGGAAAGTTGTAACACTGGAAACAAATGGTATAACAGCATCCCTCATTGAAAAAAAAAATCAGTAAATAAATGTTTTATAATAGATTTTAAACCAAGTAACTAAATCAATCTGACAGAGATATAACTGTAGTGTTAAAATTCATTTGAAATGGGAAAACCATACTCTTTTCCAGTAAGGGAAATGTGTATCATTCAATGTTTCGTAAAACTTCCCCCCCCACTTGTTCAGGATGTTTAATTATTAAATTAAAAATTAATCAATCAAGTTTTGTGTTTTTTTAAAAACTTCATATAGATTGTAATGTGTAATAAGACTTTTAATAGAATCCATGAGAAAGATACAGTATGTTAAGTGACCACTTCTGAACTTAGAAATCACTATAATTTTTTAGAAAACATTAAGGCATAATTTGCGTATCACAGTGTACTAGTCTAATTTTTCAGTATATTCACAGAATAGTGCAACCACCACAATTATCGAAAGTTTCAAGATCTTGCTTCCATCACCACTCACTTTCCAACCCTTGCCCTTATGGGTGCTATCGACTGAGTCAACAACTCAAAGGATCTTTACCATGCTCAAGCTGATTATTACAATTATTATGTCAATCCTTGTAAAGAAACATCATGCTAGGTAAGGTAGAGGGTTAGTGAAAGAGAGGAAGATTGACAGTGTTCTAAACTTAAGTCAGCCATTAATCTTTGTTTTCTATGGATATGCCTATTCTGGAAACTTCACTTAAATGAAATCATTGCTATGTGGTCAACTGTGACTGTATTTTTCTTGAGTATATTTAAAAGGTCCATCTATATTGTAACAAATAGTAATACATCTTCTTTATTACATGTGTGAATACACATTTTGTTTGTACATTCACTGGTTGATAAACATTTTGGCCTTGTTCCACTTTGAGTATGCTGAATATTCTTGTTATGACCATTCATGCACAAACTTCTGTTGGGTCCATACTCAGGACTACAAATACTGTTTCATATAAAGTAATATTCTGAAGAACTGCCAATACGGTATTTAACTGCAATTGCATCACTTTACATTCCCACCTAGTGGTTTTTATACTTTGAAGTGTATGCTTTAGAGAGAGCATTCTGGGTCTTTTAATTTATTAAGTTTTTGTCATAAAAGGGTGTTACAGATTTTGAAAAATGCTTTTGCTACATCTACTGAAGATGCTTAAGTGGCATACAGGCCAAGTGGATAAACTACTGGCTGCTTGCTAACCAAAATGTCAGTAGTTTGTACTCTTCTTTACAGAAGAAAGATGGCGCCATCTGTAAAGCTTTACAGTCTTGGAAGCCCTATATGGCAGTTTCACTCAGTCCTAGAGGGTCCCTATGAATTGGAGTCAACTTGACAGCAGTGGGTTTCATTTGGGATTAAGATGATCATACAGTTTTGTCTGTTATTTTACTATTCTGGTGGCACAGTGGGTGAGATGCTGCATACACCAGCTGCTTTGCAGGAGAAAGATGAGACGTCTACTCCCATGAGATTAACAGCCTCTGAATACCTGCTCAAGAGTCAGCTATGTGTTGGTTCAGACTCACCAACAATAAATTAAGTTTGAGTTATGGTATATCACAACAATTAATTTTCCCATCTTTAACCAGTTACTCATTCCTGGGATAAATCAAGTCAGTATGCTGTTGTTGTTAGATAGCATTGAGTTGAGTAGGATTCATAGCAACCCTATGAACAGCCAACCTGAACCCTGCCCTATCATATGCCATCTTCATCATTTCTGACACACTATGTCAATTCACCTAGCTGGGCCCAGGTCTTTCCCTCCTTCACTAACACTCCATCTTTCAAAGCATGATGTCCTTTTCCAAGGACTAGCCTCACCTAGCTATATGTCCAAAGTATGAAAGATGAAGCTTCACCATATTTGCTTCCAAGGAGCACATAGGCTGTATTTTTTCCAAGATATATCCATTAGTTCTTTTAGCAGTCGATGGTATATTCAGTTCACAACCACAATTTAAAGGCATCAATTCTTCTGTCATCTTTATTCATTGTCCAATATATGTGTATATATACAAAAACACATATACTTTTTTTTTAATGATACTATATTTAGTTTGCCAATATCTGGTTGAGGATATCTGGGTCTAGATGTACTAGTTTTATACTTGAGCAAATTCTCTCTAATTTAAACACCATACAGTCCATCTTGAATGAACTGAATCTCAAAAGGTAGGCAATTTAGGGACTAGTTATTACCTGGATGGGAGACCTAGGGGGGCAAAAAGTAACTTTTAAGATTTCTAAACAGGAAATCTAGTATTAACAAGCTGGTGATGACTGTAAAAACTGACTTTCACTTTCTACACAGAAATAAAAGTTATCCACCATGTCTTCAAGTTTTAGGTTGAACATTTCTTTTAAACTAGATTTTGCCCACCTCAACTTAAACAAGCAGAACAAACATTTCAGAATCTATATACTTTATAGAATAGGTAGAGTAAATGTTTCAAAGTATAACTTCAGGAGGGCCCATTTTAGTGGTAACGAGCTAGCTGTATTGCTAACACTAAAGTACAGAATTTTCATCTACCTGCTGCTCCATAGGAGAAAGATGAGCAATCTCCTATGTGATTTACTGCCTCTGAAAAATCTACTGAAAGGTCAGCTATAAGTCAGTTCTGACTCAATGATACATTAACAACAACAATGTAGCTGTTACTTGTTGACTTTAAAAACATGCTTAGTAAGGGTAAGTAACTTACTTGTTTAATAACCTCTCAAAAATAATAAAAGGCAGACTGGAATTCAGTTCTTAATTATTTGAAGAATTTGTTCTCTTCACCACATTATATACTCTTGGCCCTTAAGAACTGTTATTATTAAATACCACTGAATTTATTTAAGAATTGTAGTAGGGATAAAATTTGCTAATTTCACATGACTAAAAGTCTTGCAATTTAAAACTACAAATAAGATGTAGAATTAAATAAGGTGTTATTTTCTCACCATGGTGTTGGTACTTGGCTGCCCTAAAGTGCTGGTATTACCAAAGGAAAAGCCAGTGTTCTGGGTGGTTGTGGCTTGGCCAAATGGTTTGCTAAAGAGGCTGGTGGTCTGCTGATTCTGTTGACCAAAGAGACCACCTCCACCTGGATTTGTCCCAAATCCGGTTGTACCTTTAATAAAAAGGAAAAACAAGTTATAAAAACAAAAAACAAAACCTTAAAGTTATACATTATCCAATCAGTACAATAGACTTAGGCTAATGACGATATATCTAAATTACCCTATTATTCACTACATAAATTAGATGGTCATTTCATTTCTCATACTTCTTTAACTATAGATGTGGTTTAGACTTCATTTCTTATAATAACAATTCTCTGATCCTAACAACCCTAGCTAAGCTGGGTGACCTTCCTCTGTGAGCCCACAGCTCATACTACACTCAGGGTCTGTTTTTTTAAATTTTTTTTTTATTATTATTACTGTGTGTGTGTGTGTGTACCGTCAAATCGGATCTGACTGGTACAGGAGGAAACTGTCCCTCCCTCTCCAGCAGAGCATCTGGTGGACTTGAACTGCTCACCTCTGGGACTGCAGTGCAGCTTCCTGACACTAGGCCACCAGAGCTCGCTTTAGGGTCTGTTTTTATATTTTTATTCTGTTAAGAATTTATCTTGATAACAAAGACTTTCTTTTTATATGCCTATAGGGCCAGACACACTGTACTTATAAAGAAAACCAGGGATTATCAGAAGGTAAAAATAATGAAAATATTACTTAGATAAGTATGTATTTATAAGTGTTTATGAAAAATTACAGCTTCTAGCTGTCTCTATATGGCCGTTGGAGGTAAAAGGAATTTTTGTTATGTACTTTTTAGTATTTTATTCCATGTAAGTATTAGCTTTTCAAAAGTATTATTTTTTACAATAGTTACATCATTATCAAGAGCAACAGTGTCTCTCTGGAGACTAAGGTCCGCCTGATACAGTCCACGGTTTTTGCAATCACTTGTAATACATCAGAGAGTTGGGCAATGACTAGGGAGGATAGAAGAATTGACGCCTTTGAGTTGTGGTGCTGGAGAAGAGTATTGAATGTACCATGGACTGCCAAGAAAACAAACAGATTCATCATAGAGAGGATTAAATCAGGCTGCTCCTTGGAGGCAAGGATTCTGGGGCTTCGTCTGACACACTTTGGACATGTTGTAAGGAGAGACAGGTCTTTAGAAAGGGACATCATGCTGGGTAGAGTAGACAGCACAGGAGGGGAAGACCCTCTATGAGGTGGATTGATTCAGTGACTGGGGTACTCGGGATGGGTGTGTCAGAGGCAATGAGATTGGCACAGGATAGAGCACGGTTTAGGGCTGTTGTACATGGGGTCGCTATGAGTCACAAATGACTCGACGGCACATAACAACAACAACAACAACAACATTATCCTAGATAATCACCTAATAGTCCACTGAAAAAACTCACCAGTTCTGCACAGGGTCTAGAACCTGACAACCTCATCACCAACACCCCACCTTCCCAAATCCATTTTATAAATTAATCTGATCAAGGAAGAACTATCTTCCTCTTTGCACTAACCAACTATGTATCAGAAACAAGCTGATAGAGGAAAAGCAAGCCAAGAAATTAAGAAAATTATTTGATAATCTTTTATCATCTTCACAGTATCACCCTGGTCCAAGATACATCATCTCATGTCTCATATGGATACAGCAAATGCTTTGGAAGTAGTCTATTTCCAACCTTCTTGTCTTACAATCTCCTTTCAATCTCCTTCTAAAAATGATCCTTTACTCATAATCACGATACCTCTTTCAAAACCACTTAATGGTTCTCTAACTCACACAAATGAACATTCAAACCCTCACACTGACCTGCAAAGTCCTATACAATCTGATACTCAGAATCAGAATATCCCTAATACTTTCCCATGCTTTTTCCTTTTTGGAAACAATTCTGGTCTTTTATACTTGGAATTTTTGCTCACTGCTACGTTCTTTCCCAATAAACTTAAAACAGTTTTTAGCTTGCACTTTCTTCAGATTACCAGTCCAACATCACCTTCTCAAGGATATCTTCCTTAAGCATCTTCATTTAAAACTGAATTTCAACCCACCTCTAAGTACATACATACGAGGCATTTGTTATTACTCCAGTATCCCTGGATAGTGACAGTTATGCTTTACTTTCTATTGTTGTACTCTTCTCTCTACAAGTAAACTCTGGAAAGTTAGTGTCTGTTTTGTTCACAGTTGTTTATGCAATAATGAAAGTAATACCTGGTACACAGGAAACCTTCAACACATTTATTATATGAATACATACACTGCTGGAATTCTTGTTCCTACATCCAAAAATGTTAATGGTTGTGGAGTTTCTCTGTGAGCCACTTGTCACACTAAAGTTCTAAGGAAGCCCATCCCATTTTAGGAGAAATTATAAGCTTACACCTTTCTTTTCTACAATGTACTTCTCTTATGGTTATATCCGAGAGCATTCTGATGGCAATCAGGTGTGAAAGAAAACCACACTGCAAATCAGCACACATTAGCCAACTCTCCCAGTTTACTAAACTAAATATGATACAATATGAGGACAAGTACTTACTAGTTCCAAAGGCTGTTTTGTTCTGACCATATGCAAACCCTGAATTAGTGGTGGAGGAGCTGAAGAGTCCTGTGGCACTAGAGGTAGCTGGAGAAGACCCAAACAAACCAGTAGTGGTACCTGCTCCCACTTGGTTCTGAGGGCCTTTTCGGTTAGCCTGATAATCTTCCAAGCGGAGTTCCTGAGAGGAATAAAACATTTCCAATCTTAATTTCTATTAAAAAAATGCTTAGAAAATTTACACTTTAATTCTCAAATCAACACATAGTAACCATGACTCAAAGGCAGAAAACTGGAGAATGACATTAACATCAGTATCATTAACAATAACAAAAGTTTCTACTGGGTAATAAAATCAACATCATCGTTAACAAAAACTTAAGAGGCCAAAGAGTCAAAACAGTAACAAGCATTATGTATTTTAATTTGGTAAACTCTTGTCTACTGTCGTTCCTAATTGTAATAATTGGCTAATGAAAAATTAAAGATTCTGAAAATTTTGGTAATTTTAGGAAAAACAGGGACAAAGTTGGGAGTTCTTTGTTTTTCAAATTATAGTGGGATACAAGTAGAAGCAAGCAGCAGCATTAGCTGTAATTAGAAACAATCATTAAAATGTGTAAATATTTTAAAATTTTCTATAATGACAGTAATCACAATGAACTAAAACTAACTTAATGCAGCTACATAATCTCACAATGCTGAAGAGACATTAACACATAACGTAAAAAAGACTACACTGGGACCTTTGGAAGAGGTGCTCTGGATGTCTAAAGTTTATCATTCAAAATTGTCTTTCCTAGCCAAGATTAACTATTTTATGCTGAAGTAATTAAAGAGAGGATGTTATGCGGATGAGTGGGAATGTGCAAGAGAGGCATGTTGGCCTATCCACAAGGATTTTCTATCTACTATTCTTCCAGAGGACTGGCTAGTCTCAACACTCTACAAGGCGACTGGCTAGTGTCTCCACTGAACTCAGCAAGCCTCAGTGAGAGTCAGACAGAACTTCTAATGCCACTAAAGAGACAACAAGAGAATGTAGGATTTCCTTCTTGCTCCACCTACACCCATGGCAGCAACACTTAACCCAAACTAGAGACTTGATGTGAGATGAGGCACCAGGGGAGCCCAATACTGACAGTACTAAGAACCTGTCCAACAACTGGGGTGGGAGGGAGCCAAGACCAGAAGGGATGAGAACTTTGTTGGACAATTCAATTCAGGGGGGGCAGGGGGTGGAGGTGGAGCCAATATTGGCAGGACTGAGTACTAGGGAACAATGGCCTGGAGCCCAAGACTCAGAGCTGAGGTACCTGTGTATACATTTCAGGAGCTATCTTGACTATACTGCGTAATTAATCTGGATTATAACCTTTTGACTTCCCCCAATATGGTTCTATGAGTTTCACAACAGATTTTGGACCCAGAAAAACAGTAAGATTGGTTTTGAGATGAGTTGAAAGAGACAGGAAGTGTGGGAGACATGTCTGACCTCAAGGTAATTGGTCTGTTACCAAATGCTGTAGACAGAACAGTCCTCTTAATGAAATTGGTAGGAATCAGACGTGGCCATCCCCTTGTGGCCTTTGCTTTTTGTACAAGAGCACTGTGACTAAGTGGATTCAAAGACAATGTCTGGGTTATTGCTAATGTTCTGTTTATGGATCTGTGTTACATATATGTATTCACTTAGTGAGAACTTGAGTAATAAGCCTATTTATGATTTTGCAATACTCTGGATTGTATCTCAATAATTATAAATCTGCTAAGAACAAATGGCACACACATACACATTGTCCATTGTAGTTATGTCCAACATCCAAACAGAAGAATAGCTTAGTAATACTACATCTATACATATGACCTGAATTGCCCTGGATATGATCCTATGTAAAAAATAGTTATCAAGCCTACATTAAGATCTTAAATAATTTTGATTGTGTTAGAATTTTTTTATATAAACTCCCTAACATTAAGAATAATTAAATATTTTTAAAGTCATTTACTAATAAATAAGGTTAGAATGTTAAAAGTCTATTCCAGTTCTCTCCCTCATCTGCTTCAAAGCAGTATATGTAACTTATCCTATCTTTCTCAGTCTCCTTCCAACCCCGATGTCAGTCACATTTTACAACAGTGGCACTATGCAGTATTTGTCCTTTAGTGACTGAGATCTTTCACTCAGTATAATGTCCTCCAGGGTCATCATTTTGTATGTTTCATGAGTTCCTGGTTTTTCAATGAAGTTTAGTATTCCATTGTGTGACTATACCACAGCTTCTCTATCCATTCGTTTGCTGATGGGCACCTTAGGTTGTTTCCAACTCTCTGCCATTGTGAACAAAAGCCACAATAAACATGTGTGTGCATATATCCACCTGGATGGCAGTTATGGTTTCTTTGGGGTATTATTGTCATGACAGGAGTCCAGAAGGAAGGCTGCATAATGGAGTGGACTTGGGGGGAGGGATTGAAACAATGAAAGAATTTTTCTTTTACTTTTCAAAACGACAGCTGCATAGTGGAGTGGACTTGGGGGGAGGGAGTGTTTAACAATGAAAGATTTTTCTTTTTCAAAGAGAAGAGCAAACTGGGAAGGGAATGTTGGACAGGTAAAAAAGTGCAACAATGAATGAATGGAAATACAAAGTCTGTAAACTTTCATTAAAATTAATTTAAAAAAAAAAGTCTGTTGCATTTTACTGACCTCTAATGACTTGCATTCATATTCTTTCATAGCAGTAATACACTGGTGCTTGGTGCTGATATTAGTGCTAACTCCACCTTTGACCATAGTATCTGTACCAGTTGGAGGCTGAAAAAAAAACCAATAATGGTAAATTTGAAAGTCAGAAGTTTTATATTCCTATTCATACAAACAAAATTCCTCAATCTTTCTAGTCTTTTATTTTAGCGAGCTCTGGTGGTGTAGTCCAGGCGGAGCTGTGCAACTAAGCCAAAATTCACACCTCTAAGGTGGTATGAATCCATCAACAGTTAGATCCTGAGGAGAAAGAGAAGCAATCCCTCTCATGAGATTTATAGTCTGGGAAATTCAACAGAGAGTCAGCTATAAGTTGATTCTGATTTGATGGCAATGAATGGTTTTATTTAAGATATACTTTTAGGAACATTTGTACAAATGTATTGCATTTTTGATCTTACCCTGTATCAGAGTTATGTGAATAAAGTCAAATTAAGTTACAATATTATCACAAACCCAAGGGCATTAAATTATCTGCTAAAATATGCTTAATATTATATGCATAAGGAAAATGTTACCCACCAGATGCTCTGCTGGAGAAGGAGGAACAATCTCCTTCGGTACCAGTCAGATCTGATTTGACGGTACACACACACACACACACACACACACACACACACACACACACACATAAAATAAAATTTTTTTTAAAAAAAGTGTTACCCAATATACCCAGAAAATACACTTAAATCTCCAGTTCTACCTGCTATTATGCTTTGTAATGCCTGCTATATTACCACTGTTGCATTTAAGAAATTGGAAGCCTAGGGAGCTCTGGTGGCCTAGTGGCAAGAAGCTGCACTGCAATCACAAAGGCCCCAAAGGCGTGCAGTTCAAATCCACCAGATGTTCCTCTGGAGAAGGAGGGGGAATCTTCTCCTGTGCCAGTTGTTTCTGATTCGACAGTACACAACAAGAGGGGAGAAAAAGTAATTTCAATCAAATAAAATAGAAAGTTTTATAAAAAGTTCTGCCAATCTCTATTTTTTTCTCTTTCAATTTTTCTTTTCTAAAACAAAATTGTTGTGATTTGAGTAGTTTACAAAGCAGACTGAAGTGCTGATCTTTCCAGAGGTGAAATTATGACTGTAAATTCAAATTCAATTTGTGAATACAAATTTGAGTAAGTTAAGGATAAGTCAACTATCAATCATGATTTAGATTTATGTTTCACAACCCTTCTTTCCTGTTAAATAACTGCAGATTTTGTTTTCTTAGCATTTTTTCAGGAAAAGTAGAGGTAATTTATTCATAAATGGATATATGATCAATTTTTAAAATTCATCCTTCAGAGAAATACAGACGTAGAATACAGACATATGCCACAAAAATGAGAAGAAAATACTTACATTGAATTTAATGGTAGTCCCAGTAGGTGCAGCTGTAAAACTACTTGGCCCAAAAAGAGAGCCTGATGTGCTACCAAAAGGGTTAGAGGTGGTATTTGTAGTTCCAAAAAGCCCTCCACTGCTAGTACTTGTTCCAAAATCTATAAAATAAATAGAGAAGTGTAGCCAGAAAAAAATTTATTTATTCCTGCTAGAATTGAGTTGCATGAGAGCAACACTAACAACGTTTTTATCTCATAATCTCCCTGGTAAGTACATTCAAACACATATTTCATATCGATAGATAACACATCTACATTCAGAACATTTAAGTGAGACAGAATCGGAATCCTTTAGTGAACTAAGTTTCCATGAAAACTTTTCTAGGCATCCTTGAAAGACAAAAGAAACACTTTGTTTCATCATAAATTTTATCTCCTCCTTTCCTTGATACAACTAGATATTACATCAACTTGTCTTTCTGAGAACATCTGGCCACAATGAAATTCAAGAAAGACTACAGAGTATTTTATTTACTTGTGTGATTTTACACACTCAAAATACTAAGGTAAAAAAAAAATAAATACTAAGGTAATCGGGATAAATTTTCACTCAAAAAACTTTTCTTTAGAAAAATCACTAAGCATTGTTAATTTATAGGAATTAGTGAGTTTAGTTATCCTTATATAAATAAGTTCTAAAAAATTAGTCCAAAAAAAAATTAACAACTGTTAGCTAAAGAATAGTTCTTAAAGTAGGATAAAAATAGTTTATACATACTGTGCCAGAAATGTCAGTGACTAATAAAGTTATCTGCCAATATTAAACTGCATTCTAATAACCATGTTAGGAAGAATGTTATTTCTGACTGACAAACTCTTATATATCTTTCTATAAGTATGTCCTAATATAGTTTGAAGTAAATGGACATCTCACTCTTTCATTAACAACCAACCTTCCATTTGGAAAACACTATTATCTGGTTAACAACTGATCCTCCCATATTCTTGTGCTGATAGGGGACATTTTTATAACTAGTATTGGCTGCCATAAAGAATTACAAATACTATCACAAGTAATATTCCTGGGCCAAATTTAAGACTCCTACAGCTCCTTGCTGTCAAGTTAGAATGGATTTATAGTTGCCCCCGGATTTATAGTTGCCCCCTCCAGTTTCTAAAGATGTAAATCACTGGAGAGGAAACAGGTAACTCAAAACTTCTCTCAAAAATGGGACAACTTTGATCAATTAGTAGCATCTGGGGTTAAGCAACCATAACAACCAAGATAATCAGGACAATGAAAGCAAAGTTAACTCCTGCTCTAGTATTCTCATATCAAATGTGAGACAGAAGGATGAAAAAGGTACTTCTACAGCAAAACATTGTAAACTTTAACAAATGCTGTCTTGAAATTCTCTTGCCTTAACAGTGATACTATTTTGACCTGACTTTTCATCCCAATTCTTGATCAGACACCATCTCTCTTGCATATCCCTTAAATAGTAGTGCTTTTCACAGTTCCATTCTTGAATAGACATGTAACTTTCCCTTCTTCTCAGTCAATTAAACTTTCCAACTGATTTTTCTAACATTTCCTGTTTTCACCATTTCATGGGAAAGGAAGATGGGAAAAGAACACATATAATAAGGAAACCAAAGAAAGTGTCAGGCTAAAGTCCAATAATGTCCTACTTACTTCCAAATCCTGTTGGTTTATTTTGTGCAAAGGCATTATTCTGGGATGAAAAGAGACTGGTTCCTGTGCTTGCAGTCCCAAACAAACTATTTGATGTTCCTGTTGATGTGCCAAAACCAAAGCCAGTGCTTGTCGAAGTAGCTGGTTGGCTAAATGAATTGGTTCCAAATAATCCTCCTGGTAATATAGCAAAGGGCAAAAAAAAGTTAAAAAGACACAAAATGACCCACTAGATAAAGTATTGTATCAGTTATAAATAAATCCTCTGTGTTAAAAATAAAGCCTCCACCTGGTTTGGTCTGTGAATTCCCAAATAAGCCTCCAGTATTATTGCTGGAACCAAATGCAGATGTTCCAAAAGCTCCTCCAGTCGTTGTGCCAAAACCAGTATCTGAAAAAGCAAAAATGAAAGTTAAAATATATTCTTACTCAGATGATACAATGAAAAAGCTGCAATATTTCTAACTACATTTGAACAAGACTGACTACCTTTTTAATCTGAATACTTCCTTCAAAAATTGCACAAGGTTATTAATTATAGAGCTAAAATGAAATCCTTGCCAACTGCTTTCACTGCCCCCAGGGAACACAGAAATTCACAGCCAAAAAGTGTAATTTTTCAATAAATGTTAAACTGATTGTTTATTTAAGGGAGAAAAAAGTTCAGCAAAGGTAACAAGAAATCAAACCTACATATGAAATAAAAACTATCAATATTAAAGTGCTAAAAATGTCACTGTTAAGCCCTGGAGTTACTGGAATGGACCCTTAAGTTGGAATTTGGCAAGTGTATCATATGACTTGGAAAACTATGAAATAAATATGCTCTGGTTCCAACCCTAGAGATATTGTATTCTAGGAATGGACTATAAATTATTACTTTGATTGGTACTCTTATTTAAAAATGTACAGAAGTGATTATATAAAACAAAATGTATATGAATGAAATACAGAATATGAGTAATTGTATAAATGTGAATGACGGGTGTGCCAGCTGAACAGGGCCACTGGTCATACATGGCCACTGGCTGGACGTGGCCACCAACTACACACACCATGAGAAGCCAGGGCAGGGAAGCGAGCAGAGTCTGTTCCCAGTACCCTGGCCAAAGAGAATTCTCAGCCTTGCTGCTGCCACTTACGCCGGGCCAGGCTGTTAGGAAAAGATGGTGGATTACTTGGCAAACAGTGAAGCAAACACCAGATATATTAGTATAGTGAAAACTGTTTTGGAGCTGCTGGCCAACTTCTTACTGGAGGAGTGTTGACTATGTTGTATAGGAAAAAGCCTAAAGTGAGGCAATTTTTCATGTTTAATGATATTCTTGTGTATGGCATCATTTTATACCACTGGAAAACGTGACTACTGATTGAATAAAAGATGAGAGAGACCTAAGAAACAGATGGTTTATCAATACACCAACAAAATCACTTGCCATTTATGCTGCCACTGTACTGAGAAATCAAAATGGATAAATTATATAAATAAGTGTGTTACTGACTTACTCTCCAAGAATGAGAAGACATCCAATCTGGTAATGAACATGCTTACTGTCTGGGTTCCTGACTCTGAAGTAACTGTATGTATGCGCTGTCAGAGAGCAAAACTCACACCTGATAACTAGTGTCACCACTGCCATAAATGTAGTTTTGTTATTTATGGACACTGCTGTGGAAAGAGATATATTCTTCCCCATCAGTCCTCCAAACCTGTGTGAATCTGTGACTTCTGTGACCTACTTTCTGCCAGGGACATGGCTACATGCTAGCCTAGCATTAAGATCAGACTCCTACAGTGAGTCACTGAGTCTCCTTTAAATGATGTATCAATGATGATAGCAGTTGACTAAGAGAAATATTCTAAAAATATTTAAATGGACGTGACCATTTTAGAACTCAGTCAGCTTTGAAGGAAAAAAATGTAAAATTCTGGTGCTCTCAGTTTTGCTTTAGCCATGACTTTGCCTGATAAATATTTGACAAAGGTGCCTTAACATGTTTAGAAAGCAACTCCCCCACACTCCTTCTATAGAGACTATTGACAGATAATAGACTATAGATCAAATGAATTTTTACTTTCTATTCTTATTTATTTTTAGAGGATATTTTTGAAGGTTGGATATGATTCTTAACAGATTATGTACTATATTATTTTTTTTTATTTTTTGCTATATGGAAAACTAAAGCAAAAGGTAAAGATAAAATGAATATAATATGGTTAATTAACAATAATATTAGCTTTTTTTAAAAAAACCATAACATACCAGTAACAAAAATAAGTAATCTGGTGATATTTTTTACTTTTTCATATACCATTTGGTGCCTTATAACAAAAGCATTATTAGATAAGTTCAAAAAAGTTACTGGTACTCCTGAGTTGACAAAATGAATATTTATGAGTGGATGCAAGTAACAAATACTTCACATCTGGACAGAAAAAAATAATTTAGAAGTATCTTCATAAATATTTTTCCATAAAATAGTTATGACTGGAGGGGGAGCAGGGAGGAAAATGTGCAACAATGAAAGAACAGAAATTCAAGTTCTCTATAAACTTTCATTAAACTCTCAATTTAAAAAAAATCATGTTACAAAATTAAGAACATATTTTAAGGTAAATTTTTCCAATTACAGGTAATATATCTAGAAGTAAAACCTTAGGCATTCAGTAAAGACATAATGAAAAATTTTTTTTAAGTTATTCTATTTTTACACTTTACAGGTACCAAATTATGATTGTCAAATATATGGTTTAAAATAATAACAGGTTATAAATTTTAGGAATTTGGTTTGAAATTATCAAATAATGATGAGTTGTCATATTGCATTAGTTTCTACTTTTAACAAAACAATTTAGATTCATCTACTTTAACAACTACTTCTAGAATTAAGCATCTTTTTTTGCAATACCCTTGAAAAAAATAAAGCAATAATCTAACAGGAGAGCACAACATATGCTTAAAGATTTGGAACAGAGTCCCGCAGCCACAGCAGTCAGGATTTCACTGCCTCACACCGCCAAAGCCTGCCCGATGTGCATTCCCCAGTTCCTTCCTCATCCAAATCCCATAAAGCTACTCTCAAGGATCAGCTGATTGAGAATCTTAAGGAAGAACAGGACACACACCCCCCCCCCAGAATAAGATTACAATTGTTGGGGTTGGTGCTGTTGGCATGGCCTGTGCCATCAGTTATTTTAATGAAGGGCATGGCAGATAAACTTACACTTGTTGATGTCATGGAAGACAAATTAAAGGGAAAGATGATGGATTTCCAACATGGCAGCTTTTTCCTTGGAACATCAAAAATTTTGTCTGGCAAAGACTACGATGTAACTGCAAATTCCAAGCTGGTTATATCACAGCAGGAGCATGGAGAAGGTGGAAAGCCAATTTGGTCCAGCTAATGTTTAACATCTTTAAATTCATCATTCCCAATGTTGTAAAGTACAAGCTGCTTGCTGTTGCTAATCAATCCAGTGGGTGGATATCCTTACCTATGTGGCTTGGAAGATCAGTGGCTTTCCCAAAAAAATATGTTATTGGCAGTGGATGCAATCTGGATTCAGCGAGGTTCTGTTACCTAATGGAGCAGAGGCTGGGAGTTCATGCATTGAGCTGTCATCATGGCTGGGTCCTTAGAGAGCATGGAGAGTCTAGTGTGCTTGTATGGAGCCAAGTGAAGGTGGCTGGTGTGTCTCTGAAAAATCTGCACCCTGGTACCAATTCAGAGAAGGAACAGTGGAAAGAGGTTCACAAACAGGTGGCTGACGGTGCTTATGAAGTGATCAAACTGATATCTCCTGGGCCATTGGACTGTCTGTGGCAGATTTGGCAGAAAGTACTTTGAAGAATCTTAGGCAGGTACATCCAATTTCCACCACGATTAAGGGTCTTTATGGAATTGAAGATGATGTCTTCCTTCATGTTCCTTGCATCTTGGGGCAGAATGGAATCTCAGACATCCTAAAGGTGACAATGACTCCTGAGGAAGACGCCTTTTCGGGCACTTTCGGGAATCGAAAAAGAGCTGCCATTTTAGTCTTCTGTTGTACCACTTCAATCTCTAGGTTATTAAAGGATTTTAGTTGGGAGCTGTGCATGTTGTCCTTTTTATCCAGTCTGTGATTAAAGCAGTAAAATACAATATAGGAAAAACATCCGTTTCCTAAAGATGGACACAGGAATGGTCCATAAAACCCTACAGATATGTCCTGATGGTGGTACTTACCTTGTGTAGTGCTAAACTTCTATTCTTTTAGTATAAAAGAATTCCACCACGTCTCAGACACCACTGCCAATGTTGCACATGCTGTAGCTGCCCTTCAAACTAGAGTGTTTACTGTGTTAAATAACTTTGGCTTAGTAAAAGTTCTTTTTTAGTCACATTCTGTGCTCTATGGTACAAATCCAATATTGCATGTCCTGTACATTATTGTTCTAAAGATCTTATTTTTGTGTAGTATATTTATCAGTATATTTACAATGCAACTATGATATTGTGATGTAAAATGTAAAGATCTACATATAAGCATTGCAACAGTCTATTATACCAACTATAACACCAAATAAACCATGAACAGTGGGAGAGAGGGGGAAAAAAGATTTGGAAGAAAACAGTAGTCAAAGTAGAAAATGTCTTTAGAAATTTAAGCCTGACAACACATTCTGTCTGTGGTTGGTTATGTTTATTTCTGTACAAAACTATCTTTAATTTAAAGTGTTATATTTTACAAAGTTTTGTAAAGTCCCAAACCATATTTCTAAGTTTAATGTTTAATCTGTTTCTGAAATCTTTTTGCAATCTATAGAAGCAGAATGATGTTGTTGTTGTTAATTGCTGTTGAGTTGAGCACAACTCATAGTGATCTTATCAACAAAAGACCGGAAGCCTTTTTATAACTATCGTCATTACGCAAAGTTCACAGAGTTTCCAGAGGCATGTTGTTCAGGAAATGGATATTAAATAAAATAGTAATTTTTAATTTATGAACTTTGTTGAATCCAACTATATTGCTTTTGAAAAATAGTAATTTTTCACTCTTTGCTTCTGAGGTAGCTATTAGATTCAAACTATATTTACTGTATAAAACTTGATGCATTTTGCACTACTCTCCATTTGTATGCTGCAAATAAAATCTTTGAAATATGAGAAATATTTTTAAAAGTGAATGATGGTATAAATGTTAAAAAATTTAATTTAAAAATAACCCAAACCTATAGGGAGCTCTGGTAGCCTAATGGCAAGAAGCTGCACTACAATCCCAGAGGCATATATGGTTCAAATCCACCAGATCCTCTTACTGGATGAGAGGCAATCTCTTCCTATGCCAGTAAGATCTGATTTGATGGTACACACACACAAAATAATAAATTAAAAAAAAAATAACCCAAACCTCTTATTAAGAAGTACTCTATGAACTGGGGGTGGTGGCAAGGGTAACTGAAAGAATCTGGTCTGAAAAACAATTTATTTGCATTTTGTAAATAATTTAGTATAATAAAAAGTATGAATTTAAAAAAGAAGTACTCTATGACTAAGTAGGTCAAAAAACACTTGACAATATATCTGCTATTGTTAATCTCATTATGACTTTGTTGCTATGTATTTTTAAAAATTTTTATCAATTATAGAAAATTCTGAGATTTGCATTAAAATATTTGGACCAAATAACTGCCTTATAAAAAGAAATAAATTTGGAAAACGCTTACTAGTAATGCTAGAAGACAGATAACATGAATTGTCATTATACCATTCTTTTTTACTTTAAAATTTTCCTAACAGTTAAGATCAAATAGTTACTATGTTGGTGTTGTTTTGTTAGGTCAAGTGTCCTAAACTGATAGTCACCTTATGTACAACTGAAACCTTACCTGTTCTGCACTATCCTTATATTCTGTTGTGTACCAATTGTCAATCAATTTGATAAAAGATCTTCCTCTCTTCTCTGACCCTCTACCTTTCCAAACAAGATGATCCTTCCTTCCAAGTACTGACTCCCTCCTTAGAACATGTCTCAAGTAGAAAAGACAAAATCTCACCATCCCTATCTCTTAAGAGCACTGTTACTGTACTCTTCTAAGACAGAGTTGTTTTTGCTCTTTTGGCAATCTAGCCTGACTTAAGCCATGATATTTTTAATTTTCACGTGCTTCTGAAACTCTGACAATGAAAACGACAGACTGAAGAACTGATGCTTTTGAATTATGGAATAGTTAAGACAGGTAGCCAATGTCAAAAAAAATACTGAGTAGAAGGAGAGCTTACTGATAGGAATTAGGATGCTGGCTTTTATATGTCTGAATGAACATTTTGTTTACAGAATAAATCCCAGCGCTGCTGTTTAATAATTACATTTTTATACTTAAAATTTTAAAAGTATCTCTTGGTATAAAAAAAATAGCAACAAATCAGAAGTCTCTGCTAAAAGAAACAATTAATATAAATATTTTAAGTATCTCCTACTGATGATGAGAAAGGAAAGCTCAACTTTTTTTTAGTCTTAGGAAATTTTTTTTTTTAAGGAAAAACAAAAACAAAAAAAGACATCATTTCTACCAGGGCCATATTAGCAATGAAATATTCTAAACTGCTGAGTTTGTGGTTTTGGTTCAGAAACAAGCTGTATATTTCCCACCCCCGATTATGGAAAGATATCAGTGCCATCTTTGTGGGTAACCCTTCTATGGAGATGCTGATCTGTTAAGATGCCCATTGGAGATGCCCATCTCTTGAGAAATACATTTTAAATGCTTAGTAATTCACCTGTATGGTTGTCCATGTGTGGCTGCACCAAACAGGTATTCTGATTTTAAAAGATACTAGTTAACAGGAAAGTGGAGCTTTTTTATGGGATTGAGATTTTGAATCCCAAGGGCAAGTTCAAGGTTTCCTTATCATTTAAGGCCAAACTTGTAAGCTGCCTCAAAGGCAAAGGAAGCATTAAAGATAGGGAATGGGAAGAATTAAAAGGAGCTGCTGCTGGAGGGTGGCCCTACCTTGTCACAGGCATTCGTTCTTCAGAAAAAGAAACTTAAGTTCCACTTGATCGAGTCACCAGAGTATACTCTGAATAGTCTTTAGACTTCTAACTGCTACTCAGGTTAAAGAAAGAAAACTTAAAATCTGAACTCCAGTTGTCATATAGTGATCAAAAGGCCCCATTTTACCAGTTACATAATCAGAAAAAGGATGCTTAAGATATAAGCTGTTTTGCAGGGGGCGGTAAAAAAGGTCCAGCTTAACAGGTCTGTAAGTGAGCATGGTCTTTGTTTCCTCCAAAGCACACAAGGCTTTTTACTTCACAAGCAACAGGAATTCTTCCCTTTAACCACATCAAACCTAGTTTTGCCTTCGGAGTCAGTTACTAAAACATCTAATGCATCCATTTTTGTCAGCTGACTAAAGAAGTGATGCTTGCTGCTGGGTATTCACTTCCTTCTTGGAATCGCTACTCAGCCACTTGAGAAGGCTCTGACTCATCCAGTTTTGCTAGAGATGTATTACCTGGAGGGGGTCACAAAATACTCTTCCACAATCTGATGGCAGTTTTGTAGTATTTGAGTACAGTTGGCTTCTATCACGTCATCAGACCTAAGGTATAAGCATCCTTCCTCCAACACCGACTCCATGGGCTCCACCCTGTCCACGCCTTGGAGCAGGTCAGCAAAGGCAATGGCTTTCTCAAGTCGTGCCACAGCTTCACGGCTGCCAAATTCCACGAGTGCCAGATACTCCAGGTGTCCTATTATTTCAGCCAAGACCTGGCTGCTTCCCTGAGCGCCAGCCTAGGTGGTATGACCCTGGCAGCGAGCTAGCGGGGCCCAAGAGCCCAGCCGCAGAACCCGGGCTCACATGTCTCCGCCGCCTCTGCTGCTGCCTCCATAGTGAGCCCCTTATCCAAAACCTTTTTCTGAGAAATTTTTAACAAAATCATACATATCCTAGTTAAAGAGACTATTACAGACATTAAAATTGAAAAAAAACAAAAAAATCCAATGCCACTGAATCATTTTAACTCTAACCAATCCTACAGGACAGAGCAGGACTTTCCATAGGATTTCTAAAACTTTCCATAGGATTTCTAAATCTTTACAAAAAGCAGACCACATCATCTTTTTCCAATCTAATAATGGCTGGTAGGTTTAAACTACCTGGTTAAACATCAAAATTCTAATCTGAAGCTTGGTGGTGGTGTTGTTATGTGCCATCGAGT